AGAGTTTGAAATTGAGTTATTTTCTCAAATAAAGATTTGAAGTGAACCTGATCTCAAATAAAGACTTGAAATGACCAGATCGTTTTAATACACATTGAACATTTTCATATAGTTTAGGGACTAAATTGAACAAATACCAAAAGTTCATGGATCACATTGAACAGATTAAAAGTTCAGGGACCACATTGAATATTAGGCTAAAGTTCAGGGACTGCATTGAACAAATTAAAAGTTCATGTACCAAATTGCACATTGAGCCAAAATTCAGGAAGTGTTTGTGTCATTTTCCGTTGAATTAATGGTTGAAAATGAAGATTAGGAGTTTTTTTTTTTTTATAATGAGAGTCGAACGTGCGTTCGAATACGACAATTAGATTTCTTTTTTGATATCGACGTAGTGTCCGGAGCTCTACGAGTCCCTCCCAATTATTGGATACACAAGGGTATGTGCTTTCAGGAATTACCCTCAAGCAAGCACGATGATTCGAACCCATATTTCAGCCTAGAGTATGAACAAGCTTACCACTTCAATAACCCAGTACATTTTATCGCAACTACATGTTATCGACAGTAAAAAAATATATATATATTTGAAAAGATCATTTGATGCGGTGGTAGCAGTGAATGCGAACTTCTGATCTTAGGAAAGCGACCCCGGAAATGCTTTGTGAACAACCAGATGAGACGAAGGAGAGTTGAGAAATTTCGCAAGGGATTTCCATCAAAATGCAACGAGCGACTCTGAATGCTCCTGATCTTCACCGAATGGGTGTCCCCCGTCGACCCCTCGGAAGAGGATTTACCTCCGTGAAGTACGCACCGGGCGTTCCTCGGAACGAATGCTACAGCATCGGGTGAATTCAATATGAATCGCCAGTTGGCAATTCCTTTCCATATGAATCCGTACGCTGATTTTCTCGGCCCTCAATTTGCCTGCTCCTCCTCCTCCTTCGTGAGGCTGCATTTGGTCGTCCGGATTTTTAAACAGGATAGGACTGGATAGGATAGGATAAGAAATCCCAGGATTTCTTCATATCCTATTCACTGTTTGGTGGACTACGGATTTAAAGTCGGATATGATAATTTTTTTTTTTTTTTAGCTATTCACGGGTCCGGAGGAGTCGGTGAAGGAAAAAAAGCCGAGAAATTTTTTTGGTGAAAGCGCACAAGGTGTGAGGATAAAGATGACGGCAAGTGGAGCGTAGGGTTTCTGGAAAAATAGACATTAGAAATCCTATTCAGGTCTATCCCACTCCCCCTCGGATTTTTTTATTCGAGCTATATCCGGTTTATATCCAACCTTATCCTATCCTGAACCACCACCAAACACAGGATAGGATAAAGCATATCCTATCATGACTTTTATTCGGTCGACCAAACGCAGCCTAAGAGGTTTGGTCTGGAGTTCGCGTGTTGCTGATTAGACGTTGTACAGCCTGGACAGGAGGTTAAAACACGACACGTCGGATCCAGCGGGATCGTGCGGGGTTACCCCACGCGTGGGATCACGTGGGGGTCCCCATACCGATGGGACGACGTCGTACCGTTGTAAATAGTAGCCCGGAGTCGTTGTGGCTTGTTGGGTGTGTGGGGGTCGTCTTTTCTTCAATGCTTTTCTCCGTGCATGAAACGCCATCGTTCTTCTTTTTCTAAACAATTTTCTTTTCCGAGTTTCATGATTCGACTGTCTCGCAAAAAAATATCTAGGATTTATAAAAAATATATATATTCTTTTAAAACCGATCGCTTGTGATATTATGTAATAATAAAATAAACGAATGATATTTTGGTCATTAATCATAGATCGTCGCAGACGATGAAAAAAATCGTCCATAGGCTAATTTCTCTTGGCGATACTGATATTATTAAGAAAATGTTTTTTCATCATTCATTCTTCGATGCAAAGATGCCGAAAGGTTGGATTTGGGACAAGGGTTGGGTCTTGCCGCAAATTCTTAGGGGGCGCACTTTCGAGGATCATTAGCGGTTGTTCAATTATAAAAGGACAAACCGTGGCCGTTCATCCAAGGCCTTTGAAATGCCTATGAGGCGCGACATTTTCGTGCGTGAGATACGACGAGATGCGGTACGGCACGATAGTTTTGAGACAACGAAATCGGTGTCCACGAGTTAGACAACGAAATCGGTGAGCTTTGCTAGAGGCCTTGCCTTTGGTCGATCACGGAAGAATGGCAGAAAAAAAAAATTGAGAAAAAAAAATCGCAAAATTTCAAAATATTATTAAAATTTGTCAACGTAAGTTCCGGTGATATCACCACATAGGATAGCCGGTGCTCATATCAGCGATTTCCGGCCAAAATTGACAAAATTGACTCAATTGGCAAAAAGTGAAAATGTTAATGATTCAATTGGCAAAATTAAAAGGTTTTAAGACTGAATTGACAAAAGCGCAATACTTTTAAGACTTTTTGGACAATTTTCCCGCTAACATGACCCTCCTTTATTTCCATTATTAGCCCCTCTTGGAGGTGGACGAATTGAACAAAATTCAAAGAGACGAACAATCTGTAAATTCGAGGATTACCGTGGCCAGCTGAGGTGCTAATGCAAACTAAGAAAGAATTAAATGTGCCGATGATGATGATGCTAAGTTAATTTAACTCGTTTGAAGACTCCGAGACCAAAGACATTGGGCATTGAATTCGGCGGGGGTACGATGCTGCTGCATCGGATTTCGACGTTATTCGTTAAAACCGCTTGGAATTATAACAAAAATCAACATCATATGTACATAGAAGATAATTGTTGGGCATTGTGACCGAGATCTTTGGATTTTTATTGTAATCGCAAATTCGCTAAAATCAACATCGGCCCCTCGAGTACTCCACTGGCGTGGAGTTAATTGCCAATAGGCATGCGGCGCTGCTGGTAAAGGAACCGGGGGGGCAAGGGGTGGGGTCGAAGTGTACTAGATCCAGGGCTCAATCCCGCGAGCATTACACACATATATACATAAAAGAGTCGAGCAAGACAAAAAAAAAAAAGTTCGAAGTAAATTATAGACGTGGATTCGGGTAGTCGGGTGTACTTCGGCACCCGAAGGTTTGCTTCGTATGAGGTATTTGGTTAGTGAAAATTTTCGAAAATATCAAATTATTATCTATTTCCAACTGTGCTCTTCCTTGAAGCTTAATTCAAAGCTCCCCATGAATTAAGACTATGGGAATAAAAGTGACTTCGAACATAATTCTCACAGTATACCAATCTCGGTGCTATTTCACTTCGTGAATCATAGGCCAAATTATAAAATTTCGAAATAATTACATTCTATAAGATAATCGACGTGAAGTTCTGAATGTTTATATCGGTCACGACCGACCGTACATACAGATCTTGATTTGTACCGACTTATGAGAATGATTTCGAGAACTAATAGCATCCGTACGGAAAGGAATTTAACCGTCTCTTTGAATTTGAAAACCATACACTCAAACATGGTTTCAAAATCATCGTCCTTACAAATTAAACATATTTCCAAGAAAAACAGAAACTAGAACCATTTAACAATATCAAGGGGCACTTAAGATAGCCATAAGTTAGTCAAAACTTATTTTATGGGTCATTAGGTAGCCAAGCCTACGAGTCTAATGTCCTGAATTATTAGATAAATAACGAAAAAAAACAAATTAAAGAGAAATCTCTCCCAGTTGAGAAGATCTTCACGAGTCCGTAAGAAATAATTCGCATTTCCACCGCCGGGTAGTCGACGAAACGTAGATAAAATCATATTATATAATCATTTTTATATATCGCCCATGTCGTCCGCCCGACAGATACACGTGCAGAAACGCCCGTATAACGATAACGCGTCCGATGACAATCCATCTTTTAAACGAGCTTCGAATCGCGTTATAAAATTACAAACAGCTGCCAATCTAAAATGTCTAGACAATCATCTCGATGCATGAACATCGAAGTTTGCAAAACAAAATTCCAATCTCCATGCTTTGTCTTGTTCCGTAAAAAAGGGCTACTAAAATAATCCTAGGCAAAAGCCAAACCCTGACTTTTTCCCCTAAAGTTAGCGCCATGACCCGATTCAAATATCCAAAAACATATGCTTCTCCCACACTCTAACTCTCCCTCGTTTTCAGCGACTATATAAAACTAAATAAATTCCGACCCGCACCATAATCATCTCGTCTCGTCTCGTCCCACACCTCGACGGCCGCTCTCGAAATCTACACCCGACCCGAGGGAGCATTTCCGGGGCCCGGGAAAATCAGCGGCGACGAGCCATCCCGGCAGCAATCCGGACCCGGCAAGAGACCCGCCCGTCCCGCAAGAAAGAAACAGCTGATTTTGACGCCCTCCACGGTCCCGCGCTCTTCTCCCTCGGTCCATACTCCGTTTCCGTGAAAATTGAGGTACGTGATAATCTTCTTTTTTCGCATAAACATTCAAATGTCTCGATACCATACTAAAATTACTTTTTCCCTACAAGACAACACCCGCAAAAAGACCCGTGACACGGTTGGGGAGTTCATGTTCACGGCACGTCGCACGAATGCGACGTCCGAAATTGCTGATTCCGAGCTATTTCGCACGCGGGCTACGTTATTAAAGTGTCGGCTCGCGTCTCAGTTAATCGATCGACATGGTTAGTGACGTATTTCACGAGCTTTGAATATAGAACAAGTCAATTCGGTTCCCTTATAATGTAAAGTTTGCATTTTTATTTACTTAGTCACGAGACGAAATAAAGAAAGAAAGAAGGAAGGGTACAGGGAAGAGAGAGAGAGAGAGAGAGAGAGGGAAGCGCGTATCACTTCACGTATAGTTTAAAATTCGCAGGTTTTGATTGAGTTGATGTGGGGTGGGGATGGTGGGGGGGATTGCATGTGGCGCCATTAACGCTGAAATCCGTGCAATCTTCTCCGCCGTCTGCTTCACGGAGGACAGCGGAGCTGAATGGTGATTGATCGATCACCCTCTCTCTCTCTCTCGTTGTGCGTCGAGGTTGCGTTGCGCAGAAGCGGACAGATTGCGTTCGCTACAGGACGCCCCTGTTTTGGAGCCACACTGCCATTACGATTGCGAGGTGTGGGAGAGGAGGTGGTGGTGGTCTTCTGGTCATTGACGACGACGGAGGCGAAGAAACCCTCTAGAGAGAGAGAGAGAGAGAGAGAGAGAGGAAGGGTTTTTCGCTTCAACTTTTCGCGCTCTTCTCTCGCTGTCATCAGTCTCATCTCCTTCCTTTCCTTTCCTTTCCTTTCCTTTTCCTTTTCCTTTTCTTTTGCCCTTTTCTCATCTCGAAGTCCCTTTCTTCGTAACGTCGCGGTGACCCATTTGGCGTTTCGCTGCTGGGTGCGATCCCGATCGAACGCGAGTACTGTTCCCCGGGAGTTGATAATACCCGGAGAAAGCAAGAACAAGAAAAGTAAAAGGAACGGCGAAAGCGAACGTTTTTATTTCTTTAGCCGTGTTTTGAGCTTGGTTTTGCTTGGAGCGGCGGACTGAAGGGGGAGTTCCACGTGATATCAGTAAAGGCGCTTCGGATTTGAATAGTCTCATCTCTGGTAAATGGGATGCATTCTTCTTCTTTGCGCGCTTCGATGTTTTGTCTCCGTTTGACGAGGAAAATTTGAGGTCCGGAAGCGGAAATAGGGAAAGAAAAATTCCAACTTTGGTAAGTCTCTCGAGTTCCTTAAAGTGGCGGAGCAGATTAGATTCTGTGTTTTTGGCGCTTCGAGATATGGGGAGTGCCAAACGAAAAGCAGAGCATTCGAAAACGTCATAAAAGTGTCGCGAGCTTCATCTGCGTTCGGGCTTTCTCTTTCGAGTTGGTTTTGATTCTTTCGCTCTGCAGGTGGGTGGGGGGTGCTCTTCAATCTCTCTCGTCCAAGTACGTGATTCGATCGTCCCCTTTGGCGTCGCGTGGAGATTTTGACATGATGGGGGCTTTCCTCTGAGCGCGGACTTTAGCAGAGGAGGGGCTTGTGCTTGGACTCTATCGTTTCTGGATCCGATCTCATCTCATGCCTCGCTGTTTCGCTTTCGCCTGTTTCTTTTGCTCTGTATTGGGTCGCGTCGTCTGCTGATGGAGTGATTTGAAGGCTGAAAGCAGAGCGACGCAGGTGTCCTTTCGTCTTCCGTGAAGTTTTTAACTCCGCAGCGTGTCATTTTGCTTTTGGTCTCAAGCTCACGCCTGCGCAACTGGGTACCAGCGAAAGGAAAAGTTTACACCGGATGAGTGCTTCTTGAGCTCGAGGATTTCGTCCCTTCCTCTGGCAAGACCAGGACCGAAAAGGGTATCCGTACTTCTGTGTTTCCCAGCTCATCGGTTTCCACTTTGAGAATATTCGTGCTTGATTTTCACCATCTGGAGTAAAAGTGTTCTTCTTCCACTTCAGTTTTTTTTTTATTGCCCCTCAATTTGGCTTTTCCGTGATTCTGAGGATTTCTTGTCAACCGGTCAAAAGGGTCTTGTCATTGCAAGAATCTGCCGTGTTTTGAGTGGAATGGTTTGTTGGTTGGCGGTACATGTCTCTGAATCTCGCCGTGGTGGGGGCAGAGCAATAATGATAAGGGCTTGATTGGTCACTCCAAGCTTGATTTGCCGAACAAGAAGGTTGGATCAGACGCGCCCAATGTGGAAGTTTCCCCCTTGTCCTATAATGCGTGTTTCTCGAGCTTATTAAGGTGCAATTTGGTTTGGGAAGTGAGCGACTCTGTGGCAGAAGAGAACTGAGATTTCATCTGGCAATGAGTAGAGAACAGAAGAGAGGGAAGCTGGAAAAGGGCAACATGGATGTTGCTGAAAAGGTGGTGGTTGCTGTTAAGGCCTCGAAGGAGATTCCGAAGACGGCTCTCGTCTGGGCTTTGACTCATGTTGTTCAACCTGGGGATTGCATTACCCTGCTGGTTGTGGTTTCTTCCCAAAGTTCTGGTAAGTTTCCGTTATGTGGTGATGCAAACATCCCTCCTTTCCGTTCATCGGTTGTGTTATGTGAACTTCTCTTCAGGCTCATCGTGGTTCATGAAATTGGATGGTGCATATTTCTGCCTGAGTTTGTTGACCTACTTCCGCTACAGAAATATTACTCTGAAGGACATTGTTTTGACCTTTTTCTTGCTCCGCTTTTGTATCTCCTAAAAACTTTCTACCTGCTAAGGACGATTTGAGAGTGTACCTTGTGCTACTGAATGTTGACAGATGCAGCTTGTCTGAATTTCTTCATTGTAACGTATCACTTGGTTTTAATTCCTGGAACAATGTATCTCCCGATTTTTCAGCGATAAGAGATTGAGATTTTCTCCCCAAATAGTTTTTGCCGGCTGATTTCTGTCTTACTGAATTCAACCACTGCGTTCAATGTTTCCACTCAAATCCTGTCACAACCATACTTCCTAACGGCAATTCCATTACAATTTTTCCAGGAAGAAAGTTATGGGGTTTCCCAAGGTTTGCAGGGGACTGTGCTAGTGGGCATCGGAAGTCCCATTTAGGGTCGAGTGCAGAGCAGAAGATTGATATAACAGATTCCTGCTCCCAAATGATCCTTCAGCTCCATGATGTGTATGATCCGAATAAGGTCAGCGAGATTGATGAAACTTGTTTATGGTGCTTTTCTGTTTTCTTTTCATCACCTAACGCCGCCCACCTCTTTTGCACAGATAAACGTCAAGATAAAAATTCTCTCTGGATCGCCGTGTGGAGCAGTAGCTGCGGAGGCAAAGAAAGCTCATGCAAGTTGGGTTGTATTGGACAAGTAATCATCTATTTTCCCTGTTAAAAGAAATAAAGAAAAGTTGGGAGATTTTGAATACAGGATAACTGATGCAGGTGGTCCCATAAGTCTGACATACCTTTGTTTGGTCGACTCTTGTTTACTCTTAACAGACAGCTAAAACCTGAGGAAAAACGATGCATGGAAGAGCTACAATGCAACATTGTTGTAATGAAACGGTCTCAGGCGAAGGTTCTTCGCTTGAATTTGACGGGATCGCCCAAGAAGGAGACCGAAGCTCATCCGCCACCATCTGAGCTGGATGAAGCATCTGATAAACATCACAAAATTCAGCATGAAGCCCCGAATTCTGTCCGTGGTCCAGTTGTCACTCCAACTAGTAGTCCAGAGTTAGGGACACCATTCACTTCTACTGAAGCTGGAACTTCGTCAATGTCGAGCTCTGACCCCGGAGCTTCACCCTTTTTCATTTCAGAGGTGAATGCAGGCATAAAAAAGAATGTGCCTAGTGTAGTGAAGGAAATTAGGGATGTCGATGAATGTAGTAGCTCAGACTCAGACAGTGAAAATTTATCTCTAGGTTCAACGAGCTTGAGGTTTCAACCATGGATGGCGAAATTGCTTGGTTCTAATTGTAACGATTCCGTTCATTTTGGACAAAGCTTTCAGAGAGCTAATGACACAGTGCAAGCATTAATTGCCAAGGATATGCCAAGTAAGTTCGCTAGAAGCAATGAAGATGATCTGATTCAATTGCCGGACTACAGGGATGATATGGACATAGGTGGAAATTTGAGAGAAGCAATCTCACTGTCCAGAAATATGCCCAGTGGCCCCCCACCTTTGTGCTCAATATGTCAAAATAAATCTCCTGTTTTTGGAAAACCACCAAGATGGTTCAGCTATGCTGAGCTAGAGCTTGCAACTGGCGGTTTTTCACAGGCTAATTTCTTGGCTGAAGGTGGTTTTGGATCTGTTCATAGAGGGGTACTTCCAGATGGTCAGATAGTTGCTGTCAAGCAACACAAATTGGCTAGTTCTCAGGGTGATCACGAATTCTGCTCAGAGGTTGAAGTCCTGAGCTGTGCTCAGCACCGAAACGTTGTCATGCTGATTGGGTTCTGTATAGAGGACAAAAGAAGATTACTGGTGTACGAGTACATTTGCAATGGTTCCCTGGATTCACATCTCTACGGTAATTCTCTTTACAATAGCAGTGGATGGCCAAAAGGAATGTCGTAATGGAAGCTGTTCTTTCTTAGCTTTCCAAGTATTACATTGGCATTAACCCCTTGTCCACCTGTTTGTTGACTGGAATAATGAACTGTCGAGGTTGATATTCTCGATGTGTCTATGTAACTAGTCAACGATTTTGCTGTTTCAGGACGTCATCAAGAGCCATTAGAATGGTCGGCACGACAAAAGATTGCTGTCGGGGCTGCTCGAGGTCTGCGATATCTTCATGAAGAGTGCAGAGTGGGTTGTATTGTCCATCGTGATATGCGTCCAAATAACATCCTCATAACTCATGACTTCGAACCCTTGGTACAGTCATGATCTTTTACTTTGGATTTATTGATGCTTTCACCCTTCTCATTGAAGCTATGGGCCTTTCCTTTTGTGATCTTCCAGAGGATGTTCTAGCTCTTAATTTCTAGATATAGTACTTATACTTTGAGGATGTGGTGTGTTAATCCTTAACCGATTGCTTCTTTCACAAGGTAGGGGACTTTGGCCTCGCTCGGTGGCAGCCTGATGGACGCACTGGTGTTGAAACAAGAGTAATTGGTACTTTTGGGTGCGTATTTGATATTAACAGTTGCTTCATTTTCTAGACATCTGTGAGATTGGAATATTCATTCACCTACTTTTATCTATAGATATCTAGCTCCTGAATATGCTCAAAGTGGACAAATCACAGAGAAAGCTGATGTATATTCATTTGGGGTGGTGTTGGTGGAGCTTGTTACTGGGAGAAAAGCTGTGGACGTTGATCGGCCCAAGGGTCAGCAGTTTTTAACTGAGTGGGTATGACTCTGAAAAATAGTGATGTTAGATTTCTGGTGTCTTTGAAACAAATCTGATGCAATCTTATCAAGATACGGGATATTGTGTTCTCTTCATCGGTAAATTTCCATGTTCTGCTCGTAACTTACATTGTTAGTATTCGCCAGGCTCGTCCACTGTTGGAAGAATATGCAATTGATCAGCTGATAGATCCACGATTGGGAGATCACTATTCCGAGCACGAGGTTTGCTGCATGCTTCATGCTGCATCCCTATGTATACGGCGTGATTCACATTCCAGGCCTCGCATGTCACAGGTGAGGAAATCCATCAGAAAAGGTGGACAGAAAACAAGCCTACAGCATTCAGACCTTGAGTGGAATTAATATGGATGTCTGAAGATAATTAAAATTAAGTAATTGTGAATTTGTCACGGAAGTTACCTTAATTCTATGGAATCTTCAAATTTTGAGAGGGATTTCGGCATTATAAGTATGAAGGTGCAATGGTTGAATTAGTATGGATAGTTGTCATTCGAACTAATTGTTTTACGTCTTTTTATGGGAGAAGGTGCTGCGCATTCTCGAAGGTGACATGCTTGTCGACACCAATTACATGTCGACTCCGGGGTCTGATGCGGGAAGCCGGAGCGGACGAATTTGGACGGAGCAGCAGCCTCAGCATTATCACAGCGGTTCCTTACTGAACGAGGCAGCCGAAGCATTTAGCGGGAAGCTGTGCCGCAAAACACAAAGGCTTTCCATCAAGGAGCAGGAGATGGCCAGGAGGATATCATGTGAAGATGAGATGTGAGGAGGGGCTCATCCAGTTTTTATATGGTAGAGTTATATGCCATTTTGCATAATTTTTTCCCGTCAACTCTTACAATTTCTCTGTCGAAGCCGTCTAAAATTTTGGTTGTGTATAGTGCTAAGGAGAGTAGGGAATCAGCATGCTAGTGTAATTCTTTGAATAGTGAATGCTAAGATGTGAATGTTTGAAGTATATCATATTTTCTAGTTCAAAGGTAAAATCAAGAATGCATCTCCCTCCTGCCCTGGCTCTGTGTTGGCCACTGAGGGCTGATCAGTGTTCTGTTGCTACGTATATGAATTTTGTCTTACCTCAAGAATCACAAGAAGGAAAACTGCAAATCTGACATCATTGAGTGCTTCTTGGATTGGCTTAGAAGTCCAAGAAAAATTCAAACATTTAAAAATGGGGGACACACTGAGATTCAACTTCAGGCAAGAGAGGTGCTCCCCAACAATGACAAAAAAACCAGTGAGTTTCAAAACCAGAACCGGGACGTGCACGGGGCATTTATTGCGAGTCCTTGTCCCGACAACGACAAAAGCAAAGGCCGAGTTTCACGACGCAAACAGGACATGCAGGCATTATTGCATGAACCATCTTATGCCGCCACTTCGCCCAAATGATCTTGTTTTTCTATTCGGTTTTTTTAGTCTGGCAGGAGGAGCCAACAAGTTGTTTGGCACATGCAGGCCTCTCTGACCATATTAAATGTAGGCACTGTCCCAGGAAATTGAAAATGCTGCCAGTGAGCCCTATTTATTTGATTTCGTCTTTGCCATCGCTCTGTTCAACTTGGGGGGCGGTGGGTGCTGGGTGGCAGGCCCTCCTTGTTGAATGTTCCGCCATGTGTTTTTGCCTGACAGAAGATTGGATTTCATTCAATTTCTCTCCGTTTTATTATCCCCCTCTTTTTGTTTCGTTTCGTTTTGGTTTTCTGTTTTTGATGCCAACTCCAAGCAAATTGCAAAACAAATGTAGCACCTAATGGATTAGTTTCATTGTTAGACTCTGACTAGATGGGAGAGGTGGGATTAGATATTGTGACCCATGAACATGGTGTTAGGTTGCCATTTGATGGATGCACATAGGAGGAAGCTGCACTGATTCTTCTTCAATAGGGCGATCGTATTATCCACGAGCAAGAACACTAAAAAGTCCGGATCCTGACCCTCATGAAATCGCCGTTCCGCAGTATCATCGCCATTCCTCTTCTCGTAGAGTCTCGTATGACAAAATGATTCAGACTTACATGCAATAAAGAACAGCCTTACAAGTTCTACCGTTTTCACGTCTTTCCAACATTTTCATGAGATAGAAAGATGTTTGTGAGCACAATCAGAATGCCAGCTCCAATAAGCATCACCTTCGCCCCTTTTTAGTGATAAGATGGAGAAAAGCATATTTTACCAAACAAAAACGATGGGAAGAAATAACAAAATGGTTATGGGACTTAAGTGTTGACTGAAGGAGGAATAAACAGAAAATGATTCTATCATACTGGAAACGCCGAAAGATAATACAGCCATAAATAAAAAATAAAAAAAAAAGAACAGAAAATCAGAGCAATTTTTCTAATTGCACTTCATGCATCATTTGGCTGAAAATTTGAAGAATCGAAAAGCTTTGTCCTCCTCTTCCCTGATTTTCTAATGCTTCCTCATTTTGGACCTCGCATATCTAGAAAAAGAAATTCATAAGCCATGGTTCAGTCACAATGCAACTGGGAAATGCACAATGAGTGAACAGGACAATCGAGCAAGAATGTGAAGCTGAATTACTCTATGTTCATGCCACCACGGTCTGATGATGCTAACTGGCTACCCTGAAGCCCCTCCATGGCCTTGCTAGCTTGCTCGATTTCCTGCCAGTAATATGAAGAGCAGTGTGAGATCTGAAATTAATCCTCCGTTCTTAGGTGCTGAATATTTAGTTGTTCTACATGACCGAGGGAAGTGAAGGGATAGAGCAATAGAATTGCCTCATAAGCTCGTGATTTCTAGCTATATGTCTATGCCATGGAAAAGCATGCTTCTGATCGCGTGGTTATCACTCAAGAAGGATTCTATACATGGTACCTCAAAATCAGCAAATGCAACTGGCATTCCGCTTCGGCCACGTAGTTTAACCATCTTGAATCCAGCATATCTGACACCAAAGAAATGGGTTTATGACAAAAACAACGACATAGATGCTGCAACTATCCAGAGAACTGCAGATATCATATAATCCAAAAGCTAAAATCAATCGAGAGGGGATGCAATAACTTACTGAGAGAGCGCCTGTGTTAGTTCTTCCTCCGTGCAATTTGGACCAAGGTTCGCAATAAACAGAGTCGAACACTGGTTGACATTCCCATCCACAGGCTTCTCTGACTGCCATGATGCACAAACCGGGGAGCTCGGTCAAATTCACAAATATCAAGGAAAAAGCATGGCTAGCAAAAGAATGAGATCTAGATGAGCCAGATCATCTAATTGAGCTTATCTAAAAGAACCAGAATTGAAGACCACACAGCTGAGATTAAATGCTCGATGGTGAACTGGAAATTTGCGACTCAAATCGTAACGAATTGCTATGAATACGATAGCTCTAATATTTGATCACTGAACAATTATACTCTAGTATTTGATTGCTGAACAATTGATACCGCCACATTAAAAGAGATAAACTTCCATACCTTGACTTGATTTAAGCAAACAACTTTCTTGAAGCCGAAAGAAAAGGATCAGGGAAATTTAGTTTCGTGAACAAAGTCATCGGCATAAAAAGAGTCCCATATTTCATATTTACATCCAGAGAACAACGGAGCATTCAACAGAGGAAAAAGAGAGTCGCCACATTGGACAGAGAACGCGCATGATTAGACAGATGCTTTCACTTACATTCTCGGCTTCTGCAGTGCCATCAGCACCTGTTGTCTCACCACTGTACGTCACCAGAAACAAAGCCGGACTTAACAACGGAGATACACAACGCAACAAAATGAACATGTCTGGCACTGGCCAGATCCTTGACTAAATATCAAAAGATAAACATGTTAAACGCAAACACTGCAATGCTTGAACACTTCCAACCTTTTTGCAGTCTCTGAATCATCTTCGTTGCCAGATTCACGATTATCATCCTCAGATGGATCCTCTGATTCAGAGTCTCCTGAATGAACAAGCATATACAGGATAATCTTATGAGCAATAGAATCAAGCTCCAGCAGCAGAACCTCCACCTCCCATTAGGACACGAAGTTACATGTTAAGGACAACAAAGACAACCTAATGCAAAAGAGACATGGTAATGAGAAACTAAAGGGGCATTTACCATCATCATTACTTGAAGGTTCTTGTGCATTTGATGCCTCGTTACTTCTGTTATCTATAACAACATAAGGTCCACTACCTGTGCCGACGAAAAGAAATAACAAAACGATAGATGACCCTCTGATGAAGAAAGGAATATCACAATGAAAAGTAGCAAAAACAGCAAACCATACTCAAGAAACATTGTTTGACACACAAAAGCTCACCTGGTTTACGTTTGCGCCTTGAATTTGATCTGGCTAGCTCTATATGCAAAGTGGATCCAGTTTGCGGATCGAATTTGACGCCCTATATGCATCATCCAGATGAATTGCAGTATGAACACAAGGAATAAAACAATCCGATTGCTAAACAGACAACAAAACTGACAACAGTTTTCAGCAAGGCAATCCGATACAAGTTAATCATCACTCCTACGTACTAACAAAAGGCAAGTGGTAATTGGGAATTGCATTATCTTAACGTGAAGTCGGCAAAAAATACCATCCATTGGAAGTTGGCAAGTACAAAAATACCCAACAAATGAAAATGGCACTCACATTTAAGGCATGCAATGCTGCTATTGCTGATTGATGGTTGAAAAATGTAGCAAAAGCAACCACCTGCATGGAAAGAACAAAAATTAGCTACAGTATAGAAATGGCAAATTACTCCAATAGAGTACATTCTTCTCCTTAACCCGGTTTTACGAAACAAAACAGTACAAAATCAACTCAAGCAAATAAAAATGACCAAACCCGCCACCCTCAAATCAAATTAGAGGACGCTGATTGTGAACTAGAAGCTGAATTTACACAAACACGTAGAGTGCATTTTATCTATCCATCCTCATACGAGAGGACAATCACACAAAATCATCTCAAGAGACGAAGAATACCCATTAACAAAACATCCATTTGAAGACATCTTCGCCATCCCTTGTTCCCGAAAGGTCACCAGAAAATGAAGGAATGCGATTTTTCCTCGAGAATTGAATGGACAGTCAAATCGACCTGATTACCGCGGCCGGTGTACTTGAGCTGGCAGGAGTCGAACCCAGGGCGACGGCGGAAGAGGTTGTGAATCTCGCGGGCCTTCACGTCGTCGGGGAGTCCGGAGACGAAGAGCGTGTTGATCAGCCCCTTTTCGCCGCCGGCGAAGCCCGCGCCGTAGTCGGGCATCGGAGGCGCGACCGCCAGGTAGTAGGGATCGTAGGGCTGGTGCGACATTATTCTGGTGATGAGATCGCGCGGCCGAGGAACACCGTCGGCGGTGGCGGTGGCGGTGGCGGTGGAGGAAAGAGTCGCGAGGTTCCGGTGAAGCAAGAGCTCAGGAATTTATGCTGTCATGTCCAATTAGTCCAAAGGTGTCATTCGGGGGCTTTGCTCATCCAATATGCAATTTTTCTTTGTTTATTCTCAACTAAAGCAGAATTATTTTTGTATATTTAACTATATATTCATGTAAACACCTATGCATTCTCTCAATTCTGAATTGTTTTATATGAAATAAATTTCATATTTTAAACGTTCATTTATGACAATTCAATATTAAATCTTTCAATTTGACTAATTTAGTCCTAAATATTTTGACAATTTACCAATCGAATCCTTCCGATCAAATTTAATCTGAAATTGCTAAAGTGGAAGCTGACTATCCTATGTACGTGGCACAGCTATAGATAATTTTTGTAATTTCGAAAATTTTTAATTTTCTTTTCCTCTTTTTTTTTATCATTGTGCCGGCGACCCTCATAGGCCATGAAGGCCTCGCTAGAGACCGGCAGGGGCCTCGCTCGTGTTGGCGAGGCCTCTCCCGCGGTCAGTGGGGCCGCGAAGGCCCTTTGCCTAGATTGAGGGCCTTCGTGACTGGTGAGGGTAGTCGATGACCCTCTCCGGCGCAATGAAAAAAAAAAAAGCAAAGGAAAAACATAAACGAAATTTAGAAAATTTAAAAAAAATAAAAATTCAGGTTCCGTTTGTTTCGTGAAAAATGAATTTTTTGGAAAACATTTCCCTAAAAATGATCGCTTATATCGCTTACAAAAATAAATGAACGAGACGAAAATGTTTAGATATAAATCGTTGTTAATGATGAAAACTTTTTTCGTCAACTAATTATTTCAAGCAATCATTTCCGGGAGAATATTTTCTAAATCATTCATTTTTCCATAAAACAGACGGAGCCTCAATACAAGTTCAACTTCCGCGGCTCTTCCCACCGATCCGTCTCGATCAATCGAGAGTGAAAGAGATAAAACGAAAGGAAGAATTTCTATACTTCTCCGCGAGTTAATATTCATATATTTTCGGAAGAATTCTAGGTGTCGGGCCCCGTAAAGGAGCTCCAAATCTTCAACGACGCAGGCGGCAACAGAAGACGATTGAATTATTATTGCCGCCCAATAATGTTTCATATGGTCCATCAATTTATGTAGCTCGATGCTCAACAACTCACCTCTTTCGATTGCCCCGCTCGACAACGACGAATCCATCAAGTCAAGTTCAACACAAACATAGAGAGAAATCGATTCGTGTATTGGCACCGATTAGATTGCTTAGTAGGTTAAGTTGGTGGACGTTTTGCGTCCACGTGTCTCTTGATCGTGCACGATGGCATTGCATTTCAGGATGTGGGGCTCCGTCACCCCCTCCTTCCCTCCCTCCCTCCCAATAAATTGCAGATCGCGAAATCGGGGCCGCCTTGTTCCTGGAAATGCAATCTAATTTATTGAGGCGTGTGCGAACGAAGTGGCTAAAACCAATTCGCAAATTCTGAAATGCCAACATTTTGGTCATTCCCACTCCCAAAACTTCCCACGAATTCGAAGGACACGAAACACCTTTCTCTAGTGGAACCCCTGTTATACAAACACGAAGCCACTCCAATTGGAAAATTAAAAAAGGTAAGATACAAATAAAAGAGGCGAATCGAGGTAAAATAAATAAATAAAAGAAAAAGGGGCAAAAAAAAAAACCGAAAAAATCAGGTCACGCCTTAACAGTCGCCCAAAGGGGTCACGACGACGACGGAGATCCGACGCTCGTCATCAACCCACGCGTCCCCGCGGCTTCCCCGCCCTCCGCCGACAGGTCGTCCGTCCTCCTCATGGCCGCGTGCAGCACCACCACGACGGCCCCGATGAGGACCGCCACCAGGATGTTCACCGTCGCGTGCGTCAGCAGCAGGAACACCAGCGTCAGCACCGACATCACGGCCAGGACGACCCGGTCGTCGATCGTGCGGCCGAACACCGCGAGGGGCTCGTCCCGGAGGAAGTAGAGGAAGAGCCACGCGGCCATCATGACGACGAAGACGATGAGCGAGATCGGGTGCCACAGCAGGCTGAGGAAGAGGATGAGGAGGAAGACCATGGCGTAGTTGGTGCGGAAGAAGGAGAGGTTGGTCCGCACCCGGGAGAGGGCGTCGGGGAAGCCGGTGGGGAGCCGGAGGGCGCGGACGTTGAGCATGAGCTTCCACGGGCGGCGCTCGGCGAGGCCGGACTTGATCCGCTCCTTCGCGCGGGAGATGTACTCGAGGTTCGCCGGCGGCGAGGAGGCGGAGGAGGTCGGGATGGTGCCGTACGTGGTCATTTTGGGGGGTGGGTGGGGGGGGGGGGGGTCGGGCTAGGGTTTTTTCGCGATCGCCGGCGATTGATCGGAGGTTGAAGAAGGAGGCGGGGATATTGGGGATGGGGGTAAGAGCGTGGGAGGTGGTCAATGGGGGAGCGGAGGCTGGAGAGGGATTGGGGGTTTATAAGGTGGGGGTGAGGTGCATGGGGTCCAAGTACACCCCCCCCATCTCTATTCTTCCCCCATTTTAAAACTTGGGGAAAGATATGGGATACGCTTTTGAGGGAAATCCCTGCATGGACCTAGGCCGGGGTTAACGGAAATTCTCGATTGTAGTAATTGGAATGAATTTTGAGGACTTGATGATACCGTATTGGAGTTTTAGGGCTCGCTTGCATATCCTTGATAGAATTCAGAACTTCCTAGATATTCATTTGGGAGAGTATCGGAATTTTTCCTCGTACTTGTAAGTACGAAAATGGAAACATGAAATGTATCGTGATCGACACAGGAAGTCTGTTCTTTTGGAGAAATTGTCCAACGGCATGCATTGACAGGGCGAATGATTTTCATCCTTGAGTTGGTAATGTCGGTCGAAATGCTGGGAGATTTCCAAGTCATGAATCGGAGGTCATCTGTTGCTAACCCTACGAACTACATATGAATTATTTAGAGTCGGGGCCATGTGCATAAGCCTAAGATCTGAACTTAATCGATTCGTAGAGCTTGTGGAGTGTTCAAATGAACTTTATAATAGTCGGGGCCCCTATGCTTGTGCCCCAATTTACGTGGAAAGAAAAATAAACGACAGTGACCAATAAAGTTGTCTCGGGACCAGCCTTCCGGAGCCAAGCCGCGCTATCATGCTATTGCAAATCACCCAATAATTTCATCGTGCGAATACTACGACTTCTCATTTCATATTTGACCCTTTCCTATAGATACATCAATGCTAATTGCATCATCGCCGGGCATTTCGAGAAAAATTCGACTGCCTCCATCACACTTTCAAGATCGAGTTCTAAGCATAGCATTTTATGAAAATTGGGAAACAAGATCTAGTTTAGACATGCCCATGTAGAGAGAGAGAGAGAGAGAGAGAGATATGTTTGACATCAATGATGGGAAGAAAGCTCAAAAAAGGGGGAGCGCCTTTACCCCTCAAAGTACAAAGTCGGGGTGTGGGGGATCCCCAAGGGATTGAGATTGAGAGGTAGGATCGATGATCGTGCTCTCCTTTGCTTTTGGTCGAGAAAAGCAACGAGAGGTGAAATGCCCCCATCGAAGTCCGCCCTTTTGCCCATCATTACATGTGGTGAGTTGCTGAAATTACGCACGCATCTGCTTGTCCCTTGGCCCTTGGAAGACACATGGAAGTGATAATTTCCAATAATGGTCGTGGGTGATGCTGCTGCTGCTGCTTTTTTCCCCCCCCTTCGACAAGACCCGCGAAAGATCATCTTGCTTTTGGTAGATTAGTGCTTGGATTGTAGGCACTAACTGCTTGCGAGCGAGATTGGGCATGGATGGTTTTTTCAATGGATATGTCTTAAGAGATTGGAGTGGAGGATCGATGGAGTCCAGCCTCCAGTCTCTCTCCCTTCGTTGGCTCTACGTTCTTGTAATTTTCCCTCTCATTTCATACCTTAAAACGGTATGCTTTCTATCTTGTCGAACCACTCCCGTTTCGAGCTAGCTTAGCAAGCATTGAATCTCGGCACGAGTGGATTTACATTATTTTTGCTCGTTAATACCCTTTTCGCATTCGAAATTTGCTATATGTGCCCGTGCGGCTATATATATATCATTGTATAGATATTTTGTTTTTGTGCAAAGCACTTCCCTCGATCTGTCCCATTCGACGATTGTAGAGATGGGCAGGGCGAATTTGATCACACGATTTGAGAGAATTGGAATGCTAATGCATGATTAAGCGCGTTGATCTTCCCCCGATTAAGTCAACTTTTTGGGCTTGACAAGTCATCAAGCAAAAGTACCACATAGGGATAATAGTGGGTTGGGAGGTTGCGGTTCGAATGGGGCCGCGGGATGGGCACGGGACGAATTCGGTATTTATCTTGCGGGTAGCCCGAAATCCGAACTTAAGGCCCATTTCATTAACATATTTCTACTCATTTAAAAAATATAAGGTCACTCATGTAACTATATACACCCAAAATAGAAAAAGACTTGCGCAATTCACATTTCTTTTGCAAAACACATTCTTTCTACTTCATTTTTGTTTTGTGATTTGTAGAACTCGTACGAGAATTTTGAAATTGAAATGGTTGCGTGATTTGGATTTCCATGACAGAGAACTTGCAATCTCTATTTTGTTGGGCTATTGGACAGTGACCCATTTCTGCAAAAGGCTTCCAATTTGGGCCGTTCCCTTCTGCTACTTCGGATATTTTGCTGTCTTGGCATTTTAGACCACATAGCACAAGAACAGACATTATGTCATTTGAAATGTGAAGTTAGTTTGAAATCACAATTTGTCTAATGACTTCATCATATTGTTTTTTTGGGATGAACACCGCGACAATCGAGTTTAAAAATTAATTAACTTTTAGGAAAACTGCTCCTAAAGAAACCAAAGATCAAAATGCAAATTTCGGCAAGTAATTCGCAATGCTCAACTAGTTTTTTTTTTTTTTTGGTCGGAGCTCAACCAGTTCAATAGGCTTCAATCTCAATAAGTTGAATCCCTCTTAAAAGTTTCATTTTCAATGAAAATTTACAAATTTTGCTGTGGGGCAGGGAAGTTGAACTCGTTAGATCAATAAGTTGGCCTTGCTCGTCTTGGCCGGTGTACTGTTTCTGAGTCAGGTAGGAAGGAGGCATAGACTGCTGGCGTGATTCCAAGTTCCCGCACAAAGTGAAAAATGAAATATAAATTTGTGCGGCTTCATTTATTTCGCGAATAATGAATGGTTTGAAAAACAATTCTGAGTCAGGTAGGAATAATGAATGGTTTGGCCGGTGTACTGTTTCCGAGTCAGGTAGGAAGGAGGCATAGACTGCTGGCGTGATTCCGAGTTCCCGCACAAAGTGAAAAATGAAATATAAATCTGTGCGGCTTCATTTATTTCACGAATAATGAATGGTTTGAAAAACAATTCTCCTTAAAAAGGTATTCGTATCGTTTATAAAAATGAATGAACGAATAATAGTTTCATCATCCACGAAAATATTTACACATAAATTATTATCAATGATGAAATATTCACTTTCGACTAATTATTTCAAGCGATATAAGTGTTTCGCGAAAATTTGCCTAGATGATGAAACACCTTTCACCAAAAGTCGTTTTTCGATTTTATTAAGAGAAGATAGGTTCCGTGGCAATTTCAGACAGGATATATCATAGGTACACAAGGAAACCGATAGATATATTTCAACAGAATTTAATCTACGTTAAAGTACACAATACTTTGTTGGAATTTAATCTACGACAAAACAAGAACAATGAGATACAACGTGGGAATTTAATCAATGAGGTATGTGGAAACTACAGTTAAGATATATGTTGGAATTTATTCGACGACGAGATATTTAGAAACTACAGCTATGACTACTATATATAAATTGAAGGATAATTGAAAGAAAACAAGATTTGTTTGTTTTGTGCGGGGGTCTCCGAAAAATACGATGTGACTATTTAAAGTCTACAATCAATGGTTACAAACAGTTAACAAATAGTTACATCGACGGTTATATTGACTTCACTACCTTGATAGTTTCATTAACTCCACTATCTTGACCATTTCTTTGACTTTACTATCTTGATGGTTGCTTTATTGCACTACGTTAACGGTTACTTCTTTGATGCTTGCATCCGAGATTGTCAACTCCACTTTTTGTCGATTCCTTTATGCTGTTAATTCATCAAGCTGTTGATAATTTTGTTCATAAACGACTAAACTCTGCTCTCATTGCCTAAGTTTATTACACATCGATAATAAGCAAAAAGTTGGTCATTTTTTTTTGTGTAAACAAATGCCCTTTTAAAAAATTGAATGATTCATTGATCATTCAGTTCTTTTAAATTAGATAATGAAGAGTCATCAGGTGCCTCAGCAAATTTGATTTTTCCTTGCTGAATTTACCTTGGTTGGATTCATCATTTGAATCATATTTTTTCACGATAGGCATGTTTTTTTGTAAAGTCTTCACGTGGCCCTCTATCTTTGTCCTTAAGTAATTGCTCATACTTAGACACTCTTATTGCCAATTGGTATAAATCAACAAAATTTTGGCCTTCAAATTTTTCTCTAAAATTGAAATTCATCCATTAAATGCCAAAATTGTGAATTATTTTCCTAAGAGTGAAGTAAGGCATATATTTTCAGCCCTCTTGAATCGAGCAACAAATTAATTGACCGACTCATTATTGTATTGATAAATTTTGGCAAAATGAACAATCAATACCTCAGTTATGGTTCTATAAAATTGATAATGTAATTGTCTTTCCCAAACAGTTTTAAGTATGGATTGAATTAGGTAAAAAACTTGTATATAAAGTAAAGGCAATTTTTTGATAAAGACGAGGGGGACAACCTATGTCTCGTGAATCCATTTGTTTGTGCCTTTCCACATTGGGCAATAATTGCGGCCGATTAGTCATCTTCGCTAGCGAAAACAGCGAAGTCATGAATTTTGAATTCTCTTGGGTAAGGTATAGTGTCAACCCAGTCAGGATGTAGCTTCCTATATACTGGCTTTCCTCTGTTGGCAGTTAATTGTTGTAATACGAGTTCAGTCACTTAATCGTGGCTTCTTGCTCCCTAGTTTCAAGGTTGATAGGATTTTTAGGCTTTTGTAAAATCCTCACTGTTGGTAGGATTGCTTGGCCAAAATTATTTTCACCATTCAACTGACTAAGAGTTGGGAACATACCCGGAAGCTGCCGTGTTATGTTGGATCATTATGGATTGATTGAATGTCCGGGGGCTTAAGATTGCGTCGTGGATCACGTAATTACCATTTGCTTGATCACATGAGAGAGATGTCTCATAATGTGATTTTCCATCTCATTTTGCCGTTCCTCGAAAAGCCACTTCGTGGTGAGCACCAGCAGGATTCGGTGCTAACTCCATCGCTTCCTCTTTAGTAAGGTGTCTCGGGATGTTGACATTCTCACCTTGGCTTGTCTCTTCCACTTTAGGAGCGGCTAAGGTCTCGAACTAGATGACCTTTTCACTGGGTTGTAACCCGCAGCGTTATTAGGCTTTGGATAGCTCCTTGTTCTAATAATTGTACTTCCTCGTATCGACCACGCTAATCCCACTAGGAATGCTAAAATGATGTTTTGGCGGAATATGCCTCGCCGATGAAATACCTTTCATCATTTTTCAGTTTTATCAAGAGAAGACATGCTATATGGCGATTCCATATAGGAAATATCACAACTACATAAGAAAACTGATCGACATACTTCAACAGGATTTAATCGACATTAAAGTACACAATAATCTGGTGGAATTCAATTGGCAACAAAGTAAGACAATAGCAAAACATAACACCAGAATTTAATCGAAAACAAGGTAACTAGAAAATATAAACCGGAATTTAATCGGTGACGAGATATCTGAAAATTATAGCTATGGTTACGAAACAAGAATTGATAAATAACAAGATTTGTTTGTTTTGTGCGAGGGTCTCTGAAGAGTACAATGTGGCTATTTAAAGTCTACAATCGATGGTTACTAATGGAGGTTACAGACAGAGTCTATCAAAAGGTTACCGAACGGTTAAATCGACTTCTCTATCTTGATAGTTTCATCGATTCCACTATCTTGATAGTTTTTTCGATTCCACTACTTTGACGGTTGCTTTATTTCACTACGTTGATGGATATTTCCTTAACGGTTGCATTCGAGATTGTCGATTCCACTTTTTGTTGTTTCATTTGAGCTATTAATTCATCAGGTCATCGATTCTACAATTTATCGATAACTCTGCTAATAAATTATCAAACTCTGTTCTTATTAATTAAGCCCATCATATATCGATAATACTTAAAAATTGATCATTTTTTGGCGCACGCGGTAAGCTATGATCAATTGATCATGATTTATTTGTTTCAAAACAAACGTGAATCATTTGTTCTCAAGCTCCTCTTTTCAACAACACGCAACCCCCCGGTGGACATCGACAGCGAAACTCGTCCCAATCCATTCCCCCTGGGCCTGGCCCCCCCCGTATCTCCTTTGGTCGGCAAAACGAAAACGGAACCATAATTATTATATTCTATCTAGGGTAGGGAGCTACAAAAATCTTTAAAACGTGGAAAAGCAGCCTCATCCCAATCGCCACGTCATCTTTAATAATTAATAATTTTTTTTTTTAGATCCCTGCCCTTTTCTTTTGTTTGCTTGTCAATAATTATCCCCAAAGCGTGGCGACCACCCCCAAACAAATATACTCGAGGGACGTCGACGTTTTCATTTTCATCTTCTATTTTTTTCTCCTCATTTTTAATCGCGGCGATGGCCATGCAGATAATAATCTAATTCGATAAAAGTTCCGTGCGGTGTCGTGGTCGCGGCGGACCCCGATCTTCCAATTTTGCCGGTCGATGCGACGGGTCGTGTGGCCCCCACCCTTGGTTGCTGGCAGAGCAAGGTAGTCATTTTTCCGCCGGCCCAATTCTCTAAAAAACCCTCAAACTTTTTTATTTTGAGGAACGTCTGGCGAGGGCTCGGCCCCGCCGGCAACTGGCGAGGTCGGCCTCGCCCAGCAACGGCGAGGTTCAGCCTCGGCCGACCTCGCCATTGTTGGGCGAGGCCGAGCCTTGCCGTGGCCGGCGTGGCCGAGCCTCAGCCGACTTGTCCTCGCACAGCCTAGCGAGGGCTCGGCCCGTCGGCTATTGGCGAGGTCGGCCTCGCCCAACGCCGGCGGGGCCGAGCCTCGCCATTGGCTGGGGCCGACCTCGCCGGCCCCCGCCTCTGGCCGGTCGTCGGATCGGCGACCGGCCAGAGGTGGAAGGTGAAACAAATAAAGAAAAGGAAAGGAAAAAGAAAAGAAAAGAAAAAATAAAAAAATTCGAAAAAATAAAAAATAATATTAAAAAATTGGACGAAAAGTTAACGGGGTAGATTTGGGACAAAAGTAAAAGTTTGGGGTTTTTTATGGAACAAAAAAAAGTTTGGGATATAATTGGGACAAAGGCTAAAGTTTAGGGTTTTTTTTGGGTATTCGGCCTTTTTCCGCCTCAACTAGGAATCCAATCATTTTTTTTCGCGTCTCCCCAATTTCGAAAAAACGATGCTCGTGTATTATCCTCGTCCTGTATTAATTCCGAGAATTTGAAAAAAAGGAACGGGTTACAAAAAAGGATCAATATATTTGAAGTCCTAAAACTCCACACGAAAATACAATCGAGTCATGAAACTTTCGAAAAGTGCGATCGAGCTCTAAAACTTATCAAATTGATTGATTCAAGTCATTCCGTTAATTGCATTTTATGAAAATTTTAAAATTAAATTGCACTTTCATGACGAGTTTTGGGACTTGATTATAATTTTTTAAAAGTTTCGTAACGTAATTATACTTTCGTGGCTAATTTTATGATTTGATCGTACTCTTTTAAGGTATTATGACTTGATTACGTTATACCTCATTAATTGAAAGCGAGAGCGCGCTTGATATTTCATGAGCGCTAAATGCTGTAAATCCTTCTTGTTGAATTTCGAAGTAATTGGATCGTGATAAATAAGCGTTGAAATTTATCTCGCAATTCGTGTCGTGGATACGTACGGCGGTTGGTTAAGAAGAGAGGCTGTCTGATAATTTATTGGAGAGACGAGGAACTTCGGCGACCACCTTGCGCCTGTGGGGGCTCTCTCCTCCGTCTGCTCCGCTCCCCAGTCGCCGCCGCGGCTGCGGCAACCGCATGGGCCGGAGCCGAGCGGTTGCGGAGCAGCTCGCCGTCGCCCATCCGCGGCGGCCTCCGCGATCTAGGCGGCCATGGCTTCCTGGAACTGCGCTCTGGTACGACTCCCTCACTCTTTCTCGAACGAGATGATACCGAGTTCGCCTACTTCCTTCCTCGTTTCGCTTCTTCCGCGTGGTTTCTTTTTTCCTCTTTTCTAATCCTGTTGTGTTTCGATTTTGATGACGTGTTTCTGTGTGCGTTCCGACCAGGGGCTGAGCTCTCTGACGATCGGCGAGCGGCTGTGCGCGTTGGCGATACCGCTCCTCGGCTTGCTCGAGGCCGTGGTCGTGAACATCTCGCGCTGCTTCGACTCCGACCGTCCTCGGAGGCACTCCTACAGTCTCGACGATCTCTCCCGCATCGCTAAGAACACGCCATGTCTCTCTCTCTCTCTCTCTCTCTCTCTCTCTCTCTCATCATCCCTCCCTGTATTGTCGTTGCGTGACGACGTTGAGCTGATCGAGCATCATTCTGCTGTTGTTTTTTTTTCCTCCTGCAGTTTCTGTCAATGAGATCGAAGCGCTGCTCGAGCTGTATAAGGAGTTGAGTAGCTCGATTATTGACGACGGCCTGATCCACAAGGTGATGTAGCATTTACTAAGCTTTCCTTGTCAGGGCCGTATGACGAGTTACGATCGTGTAAGCTGTGGATTGGATGAATAGATGGAAGTAGAAGCACAATCAGTTCACGGAGATTGATAAACTTAGGCCTATAACTTGTTGCTACTTATCAAATTGCTTACGGAATTTTACGAAGAGAATTGCTTAATCAAAGAGAGAGTAGTTTATGGTATGCCAGGAGCAAGTGCAAAGATGTTTGAGTTTACGTCAGTAAAACATCCGAGTAAATGTAATCGCCAATATCAGTTAAAATGGACTCAATGTTCTGACAAGCATTAGTTGCATCGTGTAAGTTGACTAATTGTAACTTGGAGTTCGATCTACTCATCTATAGTGCTGCATTTTAAGAGTAATTCCCTCGACTGTTTTACAGGAAGAACTGCAGCTGGCGCTGTTTAGAAAAGCAGTGGGCAAGAATCTTTTTCTGGACAGGGTAATTCCCATTCTGTTTTTTTGTCAATCGGGTCGATTTTCACTCAATCGGATTCGTAGTATCCATTGGATTGATTTGTTTGACTGAGCCAGATCAGGGTGTCATCATTGAAATATTACTCGGGTCAACTTGAAGAGTTCTTTCAGAAATAGAGGGCAAAATGAAAACTCATGAGCAAATTGCCGTGAAAAAGCTAAATAAACAGTATCTGTTTTGACAGAGGGAAGGGGCAGGGATTATGCGCGATGAAAATCTTTTTTATTTTTATCATTATTTCTGTAAGAGAAACTCTTAAATGGTACTTTTTTTTTCCTGAATTGTCACACTTTTTCTGGTCATAAAAGAAAAGTTAGAGAAATTTGTCTGCTTAATGGTTAGTGCCGTGAATGGCCAGCATGTATTCCTATATTGGTGACGCTTCGGCTCAGTAGATTTCAACTGCCGTGGCATCCTTCATTTGTCGTTTCACTAAATTCGTAGTTCATGAGTTAGCTAATTTAGGAAATTGTTCTGTTGGGTATCTCTTCACACTGTTTATGCCTCCTGTAAATGTAGCCAAGGCAGCCCATCTTGGTCGTGTAAACTCTAAGCTGCCTTTGGTGCGCTCGTGTTTCTTGGATATATTTCATTTATTAGCTCAAAAGGAAGTGGTCTTCATTCCCAGGAAGTTATGTTTTATTGTACTTCATCTATATGAAACACAAGTTGCTAAGAGCTGCTGCTTACTTCCCTCCTGTACTTTTGTAGTCCTTTAAATCCTTAAATATCCTTAAAATGGCAAGCAAGGCTCTCATTAAGAAACTTTTGGTGGCTTATTCCTATTATTATGTAATTCATTGGGTTTATTTCGTGATAACCTCTGTATTTAGGTTTTTGATCTTTTTGATGAGAAGAAAAATGGTGTTATAGAGTTTGAGGAGTTCGTTCATACACTTTGTGTCTTCCATCCATGTGCCCCTATGGAAGAAAAAATTAACTGTAAGTATCCAGCTTGCACTTTGTTCATTTTGTTCCCTATAAGTTGATAAAACTCATTCCATCCTGCGTTTGCAGTTGCATTCAAGTTGTATGATTTGAGTCAGACTGGTTATATTGAACGGGATGAGGTGAGTATCTGAATTGATATGTTGAGTCTGAAGATGTTCATGCTGGTTTATCTATCTCGGAGACCGAGTTTTATACTGTTCTCAATTACTTGCATACTTAACCTCAAAGATCTCTTGGCTGCTTATGCGTCAAACTGACCTGCTAGTTAGCTATGCATTGCATGCACATGTTCAGGTTAAGCAAATGGTGGTTGCCACTTTACTGGAGTCAGGTTTATCTGTGTCTAATGAAGCTGTTGAAGCTATTATAGACAAGGTGAAAACTTTGTTGAGGATTGATAGTAGCATCCCCTGTGCCGGATTGGGTTCCATGAACGTCTTTTTCTTTCCTTTTGAACTATGCAGACATTTGAAGATGCTGACATAGACAAGGATGGCAAAATAAATAAAGCAGAGTGGAAGGCTTTTGTTGTTCGGAACCCAACGCTTCTGAAACATATGACTCTTTACCATCTGCGGTAAACCACCTTAAAGTAGCACGTCTCTTGAGTGTTTTGTTTTTCCTTGAGTTGATTATATACGGGATTAGCAACTTACTGATACCTATTTTTCTTCAACCTTACCGTGGTTGCCATGTTTCTGTTTCTTGCGCTTCCATTGAGTTTGCATTTATTCGTTTGGTCATCCTCAGGGACATTACTACAGCATTCCCTAGTTTCATTTTCAACACGGAAGTTGATGAATGACGACCGACAATTATTGAACCACTCGATCAAGAAGAACCGGGGTCGCAAGCCTGTCACAGCCACATTTTAGTCTGAGGCTGCGAGGGACTTCCAACAGGTTATTGTCGATCTCAGAGAAGAAGGCCCTATTACTGATTCAATGGCTGCTATACAAACGCTGACCTGCTCTTGCTAATGCATTTCCCTCGTCCACCTTTGGCTCTCCAATTCATCCACGGCGCGAGGGGGCACTCGTCCCATCTCCTTGGCAACAAACTACATTGATTCTTGTACACTTCCATTTATCAGCCAATCCATCAGTCGATTGTTTTTCCTCTGCCCTCCTCTATTTTGCGGTACAGACCTGTCGAATTAGAAGATATCTGAGTACTTTCGAGTGGAACTCACAGGTCTCTTTGGGGCAGTTGGGGACATTAGTTTTTGCTAATCATTAAACTACAATAGCCACGTGTGTGTATTACGGCAACCGGCAATGTTGTGTTGTGCAGAAACCCTATTAAACGGTCACTCGTCGAAGAAGGAAAAAGAAAAGGGAAAATACCATAAAAAATCTCAAATTATGTCACTTGTGATAAATTTACTCTGAATTTTTTTTGTGACACGAAAAATTTTAAATTATATCATTTGTGATAAATTTACCCTGAATTTTTTTTTGTGACACGAAAAACTTCAAATCATGCCACTTGTGACATATTTACCCCACAATATTTTGGCTCATGAGCATTTTCTTTTTATTTTTTTTTCCTTTTATTTTTCTTTTTTTCTCGAGCGAGGGCAGCCCTCGCCGGCATCGGTGAGGGCTGCCCTCGCCGGATCTAGCGAGGGCGGCCCTCGCCGGCGTCGGGCGAGGGTCGCCCTTGCCTGGGAGGGCGAGGGCAGCCTCGCTCGACGCCGGCGAGGGTCGCCCTCGCCAGATCTGGCGTAGGGCGAGGGCTGCCCTTGCCGGAGAAGAAAAGGAAAAAAAAACAGAAAAAGGAAAGATACGAAAATGCCTATGGGCCAAAGTATTGTGGGGTAAATATGTCACAAGTGGTATAGTTTGGGATTTTTCGTGTCACAAAAAAAAAGTTCAGGGTAAATTTGTCACAAATGACATAGTTTGGGATTTTTTGTGTCACAAAAAAAAGTTCAGAGTAAATTTGTCATAAGTGATATAGTTTGGGGTTTTTGGTGATATTTTCCCAAAAGAAAATCCATGAGAGATGGCAATTCGTATCAAGTAAGCGATTCTCCAAACAATACTATCAAAGTGCATCGAATATTAGCTAACTTGAACAGAATCAGATTTTCCCATGAACAAGTTAAAATTTAACTCCCGAATTTGAGGCTCTTAATGTCGGATTCAGGTTATTTTGCTCGAGAACGTTTTACCACAAGGTCGTTAACTAAACAATTTAGAAGTGCTCTCACTCTTGTCGCAGTGAACATCTATATAATTAAATTTTGTAATTTCTATAAATCCGGAAATACTTACACACGTAGATATACGTACAGTTTTTTTCTGTGTATTTTTCCATTTTGGAGGGGAAGTTCGAAATCGACCGGAACGTTCGACAAAATTGAGAATCAGGAGCTCCCTGAGCTTAACAGTTGCAGGAGCTCCCAACATCTCCCAGCTTCGGTTCTCCAATGGCGATGAGGCGGTTCAGAAACCGATCCAACGCCATGCTCATTCGTCGCCTCACCTCCCCTCTCTCTCCGCCGCCGCCCAATCTGCTCCGCCTCCGCCGCCGCGGCCACCACCACCATCTGGCCGCCTCCTATAATCCCAATCCCTTCCGCGAGGTCTCCGTCCCGTTTTCTCGCGGTCACTCCACGAAGATCCCGCCTTCCAAGTCCCGCCTCTACGCCTCCTTCTTCTGCACCCTCATACACCTCTTCTTGACCTGCGGCAGGCACGCCAAAGCCGTGGACGCCTTCGCCGCGATGCGGAGCCGCGGGATCGTTCCCGGCTTGGCCTCGTGGAACCGGCTCATCCACCGGTTCAACGCCTCCGGCTTGGTCTCTCAGGTACGGGCTCTCTACTCCGAGATGATCGGCTGCGGTGTTGCTCCTAATGTCTTTACGAAGAACGTGGTGGTCCACGCTCTGTGCAAATCTGGGGACGTGAGTTCGGCCCTTGAGTTGCTTCGGAGCGATTCGGATGTCGATACGGTGACTTATAATACGGTCATGTGGGGATTCTGTAGGCTAGGTTTGGTGCGGGACGGTTTTGGGTTGTGCTCGGCGATGGTGAGGAGCGGGATTAGTCTCGATTCTTTTACTTGTAATATATTGGTGAAGGGGTTTTGTGATATTGGGATGGCAGAGTATGCTGAATGGGTCTTGGAAAATTTGGTCAGTGGGGGGATTAGCAGGGATGTGATAGCTTTGAACGTTTTAATTGATGGGTACTGCAAACGTGGCGATGTGAGTCGCGGACTCGAGTTGATGGATGTCATGAAAGGGCAGGGTTTGTTGGCTGATATTGTTAGTTATAATACTTTGATCAATGGGTTCTGCAGAGCCGGTGATTTTGTTAAGGCTAACAGCCTTATTGAAGAAATTTCTAGGATTAGTGCTACACAAGATGGGGAGGGCTGTAGGGATTTGCAAGCAAACCTCATTACTTACACTACACTCATAAGTTCGTACTGTAATAATAAGAGCCTCGATGAAGCATTCTCCTTGTATGAGGAGGCGGTCATGAGTGGGTTTTTGCCCGATGCTGTTACTTATGGTTCGATCGTGAATGGCCTATGCAAATGTAGTAGGTTGAGTGAAGCAGGGATGCTCTTAGGAGAGATTGAGGATATGGGGATCGATCCTAATCATATTTTATTTGCTACTTTGATTGATTCCAATCTGAAGAATAAGAAATATGCGGACGCTCTTGCACTTGTAAGCCAAATGGTAGTTCGCGGGATTGTTTTTGATGTGGTTGTGTATACTTCTTTGATGGATGGGCTCTTTAAGTTGGGTAAAGTTGAGGAGGCAGAGAAGGTGTTTAGGACTATGATGAATGACGGTCTAGTTCCGAATTGCATAACCTATTCTGCACTGATCAACAACTGGTCCAAGTTAGGAGATATGGATGTAATAAAACGGACACTAGAAAAACTGGAAAATGAAAATATTGCAACGAATTTTATTACTTATACTTCCATCATATGCGGCTACATTAAGAGAGGCATGTTTGATGGAGCTGTCAGTATCATGAAGGAGATGGATCGGCTAAAAATATTGCCAAACATATATACTTACGCTACTGTAATTGATGGCTTCTTTAAAGGAGGCAGGCAAGAGGTTGCTCTTGATCTGTACAATGAAATGAAAAGAAGAGGTTTGGAAGAAAATGAGTTTGTAGTTGATGCTATCGTGAACAACTTGAAAAGGGAAGGAAAGATGGAGGAAGCTGAAGAGCTCATTAAAGATGTAATATCTAAAGGTCTGTTGCTTGATCGAGTGAATTATACATCTTGGATGGATGGCTTGTTCAAGGTAGGGAAGGAGTCCGATGCCTTAAAGCTCGCTCAGGAAATGATGGAAAAAGATGTTGGGTTGGATGTTGTTGCATATAATGTGGTGATCAAAGGTCTTTTGAAGCTCGGCAAAGATGAACTGGAATCCGTGTTTGCTGAAATGAGAGAGTTTGGTTTGACTCCAGACCATGCTACATACAATACGATGATAAAAGCATGTATCGAGAAAAGGAACTTTGATAATGGTCTCAAACTTTGGGATGACATGGAGATCTCGGGGTTAACTCCAAACCTGATCACATATGACATTCTCGTGAAGGGACTATGTGAAGCTGGTCTGATAGAAAAAGCAATCTATGTGTTAAACAAGATGGGCATCCACGGTTTATGCCCTACCTTCACTATGTATAGGGCTTTGCTAGATGCATCCTCAAAAGGCAGGAGGGACGATGCAGTTTGGCAAATGCACGAGAAACTTTTAGGAATGGGGCTTGCACTCAACCAGGCAGTGTGCAACTACCTCATAATTACATTTTGCAGGCTTGGGATGACCAAGAGAGCCACTTCGGTGTTGGAAGATATGAAGAAAAAGGAAATCCCATGTGATATAGTTACATACAATGCCTTGATTCTTGGGTATTGCAAGGGAAGCCATCTGAATAAAGCTCTCGCTTTATACTCTCACTTGATGGTTGAAGGGGTTTCTCCAAATACTGCGACATACAATACTCTTATGGGTGGTCTGACATCTAACGGTAAAATGAGAGAAGCAGATGAATTATTCGTTGAAATGAAGAGAAAAGGCTTACTTCCTGATGCTATGACGTACAACACTTTGCTCACCGGCTATGGTAAAGTTGGAAACAGAAAGGAGTACATGAAACTCTATTGTGAGATGATAAGTAAAGGCTTTGTTCCGAAAACCAGCACTTATAATGTGCTTATTAGTGATTTTTCTCAGGTGGGATATATGGAACAGGCTAGAGAGCTGATGAAAGAGATGCAAGTGAGAGGTGTGTCGCCTAACTCTGCAACCTATGATATTCTAATTTGTGGTTGGTGCGAGCTGTCTGATAAGCTCGGGCTGGATAAAGTGTCGAAAAGGTCATACAAGGCGGAGGCGAAAAGACTACTAACTGAGATGAATGAGAAAGGATTTGTACCATGTGAAAGTACCCTCTCTCATATTGGTATTACCTTTTCAAAACGTGGGAAACAAGTTGATGCCGAAAGGTTATTGAAAGAATTATACAAGAGGAGGAGTATAGATTGAGTGGACCATAATCAGGCGAGTGGATTCACCATATACCTGGACCATCGACCTCTTTAATGGCTCAGACATTCTGTATACCTTCAGCTTCCATAGGGTATGCTCTTCGATGAATTTACTTTTGTTATTCATCTCATTTTTTTTTCATTTATTATGTACATGGTTGGGTGCATACACATATGGTTTGGGCTCATCTTTTTCGTATTCTTTTTGTTTGTTCTAGAAGGTGAATGCAGATTTTGAGGTTTTGAATGTATGTGCAGCAGCAAGTGCTTATATTTGTGTTTTTGCTTGTGACTGCGCATTCGAGCAGAAGTCCCTTTTACTAAATCTATCTATTTGTACATGTCTTCTGCTGCTGGATGATTTTTTTTACTGTGTACTGACTACCTTACCATTAACATACAGTACATTCCTGAGGATGTCCGTTCTTATTAGAATATCAGTCATTTGTGTGTGCTCTGCCGCGGAAGCATTCCTATAGCTGTTGAGAATTATGAAAATCTTCATATGCATCTTCAGGCAGTTAAGAAGATGCTATCACCAGATATTATGGATGCAGATCAGAAACAATTGAGAGTTACGTTTTCCTTCCAATTTTTTGTATAGCTATTGCCTGAACCGTGGACCACTGCCAACAGTTCTAAAAGCTTAAGCTGTTAGATGAGGGCATGGTTTATTATTTAAATATTTTAACACTCCCCGTCGTGCTTAGTCTAATCTTTTTGCTTAGTACTAAGCATAGAAATATTTAATTGGGGAGGCAAATGGGGCTTGGAAAGATTCAAACTTAGGGCCTCCAGCTTTGATGCCATGTAAGATTTTGTGAGACCACTGTCAACTGTTCTAAAAGCTTAAACTGTTAGATGAAGGCGTGATTTATTATTTAAATATTCTAATATTAACAATAACTGCTACTTTGAAATGAAAACTATAAGAGATATTGCTATGCTGGGGCTTTAGTAGTAGCATGAACACTGGAAGATCACCATCCTGAATATAATGATAGCAAGCAGTCATCTGGCCTTCCTTATATGGATCAGTCTTCTTAGGTGATTTGTCCTCTGTTCTGCTGAGAAGATTAAACAAAGGAATTCATACCAGGGTGTGGGTCAAGAGAGGAGTTCCCCATTCCTTTTGCTCATCCTGAATACACACCTTTTCCTCCTGCCTTGTTACTCTTTCCAACTTATGAGCAAGGCAGCCTGACTGTAATTGATTGGGAATTCAAGCTATCTTCATTTCCTGAGGGAAGGATTCCTGCTGCAGCTACATGAGTCGCAATTCCATCTCTTAAAAATCTGACTTCATTAAATGTCTTCCTCCTCTGAGCTCTCGAGTTCCTGGAACTTTTTTGGTGAAGCTTATTCATAGTAACTTAAACCGCTTTCTTAAGCTTGTTTTGTGTATACATTGTTACTTAACCCCCTTCCTTTATTCTATTTATATTATGTCTTCTGTGTTGTCTTTCCTCTTTTCCTTTACTGTAGTTCTAACTTGTTTCTAAGGAAGGTCAACTGTGCATCTGGGTAGGTGAATTCTTATGGATCTGATTTCCAGGAAGTATTAAGGTTTTGACCAGGTGCTTGTGCCTGGAAATGAATCAAGAATCAGCTTAGGATTGCTTATTTGCATCACACGAATGCTGGTTGCATTGGCATTGGATTCTAGTGTCCTTTGCTGGATGAATCTCGTGGAGTTAAATTGCATAAGGCTGGTTCTGGTTCTTAATTCGTCTGTTTTCGTTTCCACTTGTATGTAGAAGTTTTTTAAATTTATCAACTCTGTTCCTGCCTATACATTTGCAGATGCTGATACTATTTTGGATGTTAAAATGGATGTGAGATTAAGAAAGAGCAATGTTGAATGGTAGATGCCTTAGGTTGTTTGTTTGTTTCGTTTCTCCCAAAGGGTTAAAGCAATGCATTCAGTTTTTTCATGAAGGGTTAAAGGAACGCCTAAAGTTGCTAAAACATCTTTATTATGGGCCTATCACACTAGAGGTGCAGAATGTGATTGACTGTCCTGTTCTGGGTTCATATCTGTTCTTGAAAATTGAGTGCATCATACTACTAGGTGCCAGAGATCACTTGATTGAAAAAGTTCTTCATCCTTCAGGTTAACTACAAGAATGCAGATGCAACTTCAGCTCTTGCTGGGGACCTGCTGAGATTAGTACCATATTAAAGGTGTTTAAACATACCTCAGAATTGGAATCATTGCAACTGAGGTAATCTTTCTCTCTCTCTCTCTCTCTCTCTCGCCCACACGCACGTGCATTTGTGTGGATACATGTTCCTTTCTTGCACCCTTTGTTATCAGCTGTTGATGCGTTCTAACAGAATTCTATTGTATCAGTCTGTGATTGGACACTGTCTCGGAGCTGCTGGAGGTTTGGAAGCCATTGCAATGGTGAAAATTATCACAACAGGGTGGCAATGTCCCACTACTAACCAGTTTGTATGTACTTCATACTTAATGCTTGTTATTGATTAGCTCTAAGCTGTGAACTAGGAAGAGTGTGGTTGTTAGACTTCATTAAATCTGGAATGATTGGATGAAGAGACCCATGAAAATTCACGCTAAACTAATCTTAAATTTTTTTGGCAGATGTCACTGAAATCTAACGTACAAACTCTTACTCACTGGTAAGTTTTTAACACGACAGTTGCAGATTCATCTCACGCAATACAGAGACAAGATATTTAAAAAAGAAACCTCAAGTAATTAGTGTTGTGGCCAAATGAAATTTAAATGCGGGGCAAAAAACATATTTAAGCAAGTTATATACATTTTTATGGATGAGAAGTTTTTCCATTGAGGAAGCAAATGACAAATGACCACTGTAAATGTGATATTAATAGTCATTGGTTAACTTATTCATCGATAGTCTTCTCCTTCCTCTCTCGTGCATAAACAGTTTTGCTCGTGTGTGACCAACTTGTTGTAGAAGATCTTTGCTTTGGTAGATCAGTGTTAGGCAGCTGGCCGGGGTCTGTTTTGATCTGTGAGTCTGTGGCATTCATTTCATCATCTGGAGAATCCCGAGACCTCTGTGAGTTTGACACTGTTACAAACAAGAAAGGCATCGGCAGCAAGAAGTGAATGTTGGTGAGTGATTACCCTGAACAAATTGGTACTATATCGACATTGGTTTGAACGGTACATCTCAGGTTACTTGTGTGCATTTATCATTGCAGCCACTTCAAATTCGTGTGGATTTGAAGGACGCAACTCACTGGTGGCCTTTTCAGCGTTCAACCCTTGATGATGCCGCTATTGTTACAAATAACCTGAAGAATTCATCTCGTTTGTTTGAGATCCCAGAATTAATTTCTCACCGAGAGCTGCCTTCTGCTAATAGTCTACAGTGGCTGCATGCCTTGCGTGCCATTCGCAGGTAATCAGAAATCAATAATTGCCACTTCCAACTCTAGGGGAAGAACTTTTTATGCCTGTTCTATCTTTCTTCATCACTGGAAGCTATTTACTAGTTGTAAAAGATTTGCTTCGTCTTTGGGTCTTGTATTGGCAAAGGACATGCTCTAGGTTATCGTTATATGAGTGATGAGTTATGAATGTGCAATGGTCATATATCTTATTCTGTTGTTGGAGGTGATGGAAGTTCTATTTATCTGGACAACTTTGAGCTGGTAGAAGTGTGTGTTCTCTCTTCTTTTGGAATGACGCATTACTGGTAGTGAAGCAGTTCCGACATGGTATAGAGCCCCTCCGCTAAACTTATCCTAGGATGGCTCTCTGTCTTAAAAGAAGCAAAATGGCGATTAGGGTTGGTAGGGTCTGACTTGTTGACATTGGCAATGACCACTTGCGCACCCGATTCAGTAGCACTCGACTTGGCAAATGGTATCAGAGCAATTGGATAAATCTATACGAAAGGTTGAGATTCGTACTAATCAGGAGGAATGTGATTATAAAGTAGAGAGAATCCTCTTCTGAACCATTTTAAGCCTTCTCCTCTTCTTATTTCATTACCCTCTCACTTTGGTCGCTCCACCATGAGAAATGCTTCCAACGAGGCAGTCCTGTGCATATCTAGGGGAAAACACCCAATTGTCTTCCCTTTTTCCATTCGTTTTCATATTGCCCCCGACAAATGAAAGAAAATGATTCAGATCCCAAATTATCCATGTGTATCGAAAGAAAACTCCAATGTATATACCCAGATTATTCTTTTATATTGAAATTATTTAGAGAGATCTCTTTTAATTGAGAAAAAACTTTCGCTAATCTTCAGTAACTACCGTTCACTACTTTCTATAATCTATGTATGGGTGGAAGTCATTGCTTTTTGTAGTGACGATTGTAAGGTCAAAATTCCTGTTTGCTTCGCTTTTAATTAATTCAAAATTATTCTTGCATCAAAAGCTAAGGTCATCCATCGCTCTTCTTCGTCAGTTAATCACCAAATTCGCACATGTTAAAAAACCACCCACTACATGTGCACTCTATTCCTTACCAAAAAAGATGATTTCTTTCTCTTCATAAGTAACCCATCCACGATCATGCAAGTGCGTAGCGCGAGCCCTTCAACACTAGTTGCTGATTACAACGAGAATAAAAATATCCATTGTGGCCATTTTAGTATTCCTAACTTGCTCATTATTTGATGCAATACTTTTATTATTCTCACCAACAGGGTGGTTGGCCTGGTGGTGTAGATCTCACTCTCAAGTGATTTGGGGTCCGTGGTCATATATTCGAAACCCCTCAATTGCTCTGGACCTTGGGAAGCCTCACTTTGTTGACAACGTAAGTTCGACCGTGTGGTGATGTACGACAATTCAGCTCGACTCCCAGTTGATCTGTTGTGGAGCGGTGGTAAGGAGCTCATAGAAGTAAAATGGTAGCAATGGTTCAAACCGATCAAACGTCGGAGTGGAACTTCTATGCCGACGCCTATGGGTGATTGCCGACGCTAGTCGTCTCTACCTGCCCTTTTTACTTAAAAAAATATACTTTTATTGTTCTCAAGTAATGATTGCAGTTCACGTTGCTTAACCGTACAATCCATCATGCATTGATAAAAGCAAAAGGGCTATAAACAAATTGCTCCAATCATTGTTCCCATGTGGTTGAAGCTTCATTGAAGATCCTTCTAGATTCTGCTTTTGACCCTATCCCCGCCTACCGTGAAGATGTGATTAAGCAGCTAAGTAGCGCATAATTGGAAAATGAATCCCCCAATTAACATTAATTTCAGGGACCCAAGATAGGTATCAACCGTATCATTACATGAGCCCCCATCATCTGAACGAAGAAAGAAACAAAGGTACTTTCTTCTCGCTTTGACCTCCTAACTTTTCTTTATTCTCCTTTTCTTGTTTCGGGGAGCTGAATTCTACTTAGTTTTCGTACATATGAAGTTTAAATGTGATGCAAGTGAGAAGGACTCTAAATTTGGGTTTCAAGAAAATTACACATTCTTTTGCCTAGATGTTCATCATCTTAATCTATTGAAGAAAACAAAAGGTGGTCAAGCTCCCGCTGTGATGATGCTCCCACACGTGTGTCTTGGAGCTCCAATGCATCGCAACTTCACTTTCCTCCTATTTGGTCTTTACACTGTCATTGTGTGAGAGTCTTGTTGAAGCTATCTTTCTTTTCCCCCCTTATTGCTTCTTTGTGGGGGCCAAAGTAGCTCTATGAATATTATCTCCTTTTAACCCAAATTGGCATTCTCCTCTTCAGTCTCACCGTGGGGAAGTTCACTACTGTGTCATCTTCAGCTTTCCAACTGCATGAAATGGTAGACGACTTTACTACATTAGAAATAGTACCAATAACAATGCCAGAGAGAGGGGGGGAAAAGAATTTAGGGATAAGAGTCCTCTAAAATATGGTCAACTGCCGCTCATGGCACATCATGCGCAGACCTCAGCCGAATGGAGAGATTTCAAACCACTTGACCGAGCAATGTTTGGTCTTTGGGGTTTATGAGATCAGTCCAAAAGAGAAGGTGACCCACTAGTTTATTTAATGGCCATAGCTATCATTACTTGGGTGAGTAACATGTGGACATCACTATGTTAGGTTTGGGTGTCATTCTCATCAACCTCCCGCATGAGTCTGGGCATGATGCAGTGACCAAAAGTTTGAAATTGACTCTGTTTGGGTATCATTAGTTGGGTGAGTAACATCTGGACACCACTATGTTAGGTTTGGGCGTCATTCTCATGAACCTCCCTCATGAGTCTGGGCAAGATGCAGTGACCAAAAGTTTGAATTTGACTCTGTTTGAATGTATCAGTGGTCAGAGTAACTGTTCCTGCATATTGTATGGCTTCTGTGTAATCAGTAGATTGAATGAGGATGTCATGCAAAGAGTCTTAAGTCATCTTTTGTCTTTCTAAATAGGTATAGATTAGAGAACTTCTGTTACTTTCATAATGTGCAATAGCAACCTATGTACTTTCGGCTAGATGAATTTGGTTCTGCTTTCTTGTAGGAGACAGCAATTGTGCCTGATAACCCACGTCAATCGCATTCGAAAATCATGGCAAGCTTGCCTTAGAATTCAGAAGACGATTATTCTAGGGATGCGAATCTGCATTTAGGAGTGGAGTATCAAGTAATTTGACCGAAAAGATCCTTGTCGCACGTGGTATTTAGTTTCTGATATAGAGAAAAGGAATATTACCTAAATTGAGTGACAAGATGGTGTAGGAAGATGGAAGCCTCCAGCCTGGCCAAATCTAGTCCAGGACAGAGTCTTTGTCCACCTCCAAAAGGAGTGAAGTTGCTACTCGTCATCATCTCTTTATGCTTCGTAAATTTGCATCCAAAGATTAATCGTCAATTCATAAGAACAAGAGAATACATATCTTATCAGACAGACAACACAACAGACGCGAGAGGGTTATGTGAATCTTACTTGCCACCTCCATGGGTAGAACTGGTACGGCCATTCATAGTTGGTCTCATCAAGATGAACTGACCGAAAATATGCAAGTACGCACCACCCTTTTGGAATTGAATACCCTTTTATTTCGACATCTCTCATCGCCTTTCTCATAACTCCTATTATTATGTTTCCCATCCTTAGAGTCTCAGTAATGACCTGTTGAAATCATCAAGTTCTTGAGCTGCTATTATCATTTTAAACTCCACCAGAAGATGAGACCCATCAGTTTTGATATGAAAACTTACATCTTGTGTGAATGATAGGGACAAATAGTCATTCCAACTCAATTGCTCCCCAAGCTTTGCCTTGCTTCTTTTCAGCTTCGTGTTTTCCTCCTGGGGTAATCGATCAAGAGCTCAATAAAGAATGGAGTGACAATGGCCTATCTTTTACTGTTGACATATAGTTCTCTCTCAAACTAAGATGGACCCAAATAGTTATCCATGGATTCCAAGGATTTAACTAATAAGTTTGGAGCACAAAAATTTTCTTCGAAATTTCAGTTAAAGCCAACTAATCTAAGTACCCTTTGCAATTTTGTTGACTGGCCAAAAAAACAGCATAAGATCTCAGAAAAGGATAGTCTACTTCTCATAGTGAGTCATTGTTGGATGGGTTAAAGCGCAAGTGCGACTAAGCCCTCGAATCGAGTGAATCTCACGTGGGGTCTATCTAATCCAAGAGTTTGCACGTGAAGATGAATGATCTTAACTGCATAACTATTCATTTCGAATGATGACATAATGATCGTTATGATATGGCAGCTCACATAAATTATAATAAAACAGCCTTGATTTATCCGGGTGTAACATTTTGCAAAATTAAAGTGCGCGCCATACCGTTAACTGTTGTAGAGCAGCTGGACAATCTGAGAGGTATTTGACTGCTAGAGTAATCAGAACTGGCACTGAATCTTCTCCTGGTATCATCATATCAATGATGTTGTCTGCTATTAAATCATCTGTCAGCTGCTCACTTGGGTCATTTAGCAAAACATCCACTACATCTTGTGCCTCCGTTGAGAGAATTCGACCTTTGTCTCTCTTAGATTTAATAAGATTTTTCACCAATTTGGACATTCTCTTCTTTGCCTGATAACCACAAAATAAAATAAAAACAATAAGATGATAAATAAATTATGAAGGAAAAAAAACCGAATTTTCAAGTGATTAATTTAGCTTGCCTGAAGAGATCTGTGGAGTCTACTTCCAGGTACGTTAATTGGAAGAGACATGAGCCCTGAGATAAATTCTTGGAACTGTTTCTTCAAGAACTCCATTCCTTTGCCAGGATCAAGGCTAATCAAGGCCCGGACCAGTACTTGAAAGGCTATCTGCAGACAAAGGAAAAGAAAAGGGACACTTTCGTTTATACTATAAAAAAAAAAAGAGTTTCCTTTTCTCTTTCCCTTTTCTTTAAGCTTAGAGGGTAATTATGTTGGACCAAAATTTCAGGACAACGTGTGGCCATGCAATATCATTATGCAACCCATTGATAGCAACTCAGGCTTCCCCACTTCTACAGTGAAAGCATCTCAAAACTAGGTAGAAGCCACATATAAAAGTTCATAGTTCACATTCATTACACATCTAAGGAGAGAGAAGGTTTTGTTTTCATCTTTTGACCCATTACTAGGTCATGTCAAGCTTTTTGGCAATAAAGTTCATCTCAAACTTGTAAGGAAGTAAATAATAGCTGCATTTTAAAGCTATTCAATATAGCAGGATAGGGAAAAAAATATGGAATAGCCAACTGAAAAGTGAAGGATCGAGAGAGAGAGAGAGAGAGTCGTACATTTTTGGCTTCATCTTGTATGAGTATTAGGTGATCATCCCTCCAACATTCCATGGATTGTTGGACGTACTTTTGCATGTCTTGGGTGATCTGGGCTTTGAGCTGTGGGGACTTGAAGAAAGACCCAACAAGGCCATGAATCCTCCTCTGCAAGCTTCCGTTGATGAGCAAAATGGAGGTCTTGCCCATCAGCTCGGTGAGGGACTTTGGGTATGACGGCACAAACGTCTTGGCATCACTTTGCAGAATGAATTTGGTCACTTCTGCATCTGTTGATATTACTGTGGGGCTCCCAAATATGTGTGACTTGAACACCTTTCCATAACTTTAGACATACCAAAGAAAACCAAAAAAAAAAAAAAACAGAAGAGCTCATTCCTTGCATAATCTCTATTTAGCTCGATCATACAACAGTCAAGTTAGTCGATTTTCAATGAAAATTCCAACATGGTAGATAATTGATGTTACGCATACAATGGCCCAACTTAACTCATCGTGAGAACAGTAGGATTTGATGCTTACGAGGAAATCTAATGAAAGATTATTTTTGTGAGCAATGTTTCAATCGCATTGCTAGAATCACAGAAAAAAAAATCATTTTTTTTCAGTAGATATCTAATATTACTAATAAGAAGTGCATGGAAATACGCATAAGCGTGGAGAGAGAGAAAGACAAGTATGGCAACGCTTATATGAAAACAACAGCATAATTTGCTGCTCCCAACATCATATTCACTGAAACAAGAAGCGTGAAATTGTGGGTACGTCCTATATACTGTGACTGAACTTACATGTGACGTCGTTTGTTCATGAAGGTCTCAGGTCTGTCGGAGTAGGCAGAAGTGACATACTCGATGGTTTCGCCGATAAAGGGCCATCCAAGAGAACCCGGAGGAACTTCAAGTTGAAGAAGTGGGTTCTTATGCCGCCTGCGCCTCGATGACATGACGATCACCTTGTAGCAGAAAACGAAGGCGCAAAATAAGATTGCTGTTGTCAACAAAATCAAAGCATTATCCATTTTGTTTCCAACTCAAAGCTCTCTCTTTTTGAGCTAAACTCTCTCTCTCTCTCAGTCTCTCTCTCTCTCTCTCTCTCTCTCTCTCTCTCTCTCTCTCTGTTGAACTGTACTGTGTGCTTCAGTTAAATATATGTTTTAAATATATATTCATCAATGATAGAGGAACTGTACTGTGTGCTTCAGTTAAATATATGTTTTAAATATATATTCATCAATGAGAGAGAGAGAGAGAGAGAGAGAGAGAGAGAGAGAGAGAGAGAGAGAGAGAGAGAGAGAGAGAGAGAGAGTTGATTCCAAGTTCATGTAGGGTAGAGTTCTCCAATTTAAGGAGAGTGATTTAAGTAGTGTTACGGATATTAAAATCGGATTTGTTGAGAGAGTGGCCGACGGTGAAATCTTTTCTTTACGCCAACGGTCTTGATATATCAATCAATATTTTAATAGTTTGTATTATGTTTATGGCGAGCAAATCCGCATTGAAAAGATTAAGGAAGTTGAACTTATACAAGCTTCTTTATTCTTTTTTAAGTTCCTTTGCTATAAGATCTCACCAGTTGTAATTGCTTCAGCAAAGGCTCTCAAGTGAACCAAAGAGGTCTCATAAGATTTCCGAAGAGGCCTGTTTCGATATTCAGGTTCAAGGGTTAAAGGTAAGATGGTTAATTAGCTCCACATATGATTTACATGTTGAGCATTTGTGATTACTTCCTTCTGTCACTTGTAACAGTGATACACGAGTCTAATCAATATCCAGGTTTTCTCGTTCCATTCAAGAAAGAAACCATTCTGTGTTCCTTGATTATGGCCATGATGGTAAGGCCAATGAAGATACAAGAAAGCTCCATTCACGTGAACATCTGTTGAAATGTGTTTTGTTCTTCCTTATTTATGTTAGATGCTGCTGTTTGGAACAAGGACTGCACAGTGCACATGCCCGGCGAGTTAGTAAGACAGACCGTGACCATGTGCATCAAACGAGGTAAGTTTGCGTGCCTCCATACAAACCAGCTCGGCAAGATTCCTCGGACGCGTGGTGTTTGTAAAAGTAAAAGCTGATCACTAAAGCAATCGGCATACAGAGAAGCAAAATGAAGAATTATCAACGACTTGATCCCATCCGTGTGTGAGCAAAACTCGAATCAATGAAATCTAATCAAAGACGATTCATAATGAGGATCACATGCAATCATCCTCATTCCCCCGAACGTGTGATATAATTCTCGGTACCCGAATTTCCGCAGCAATTATTGGTCGCAAAAGCTAAGCTAAGCCGCTCATGATTGCACGTTCGGTAGAGGGTTTAAATTAGCTGGAGATGGGGCTCTTGCAGGATCCTCCAGCCGCACGGCTGCATTCTGAATTATAGCTGCGATGGACCCCCTTCTGATGCCAAAACAACTTGGCACAAGTATCACAAGAAGAAGTTTCACACTTTGAATTCGAGTTTGGTTTTCATGTGCTTTCTTCTAGAAACATCAGTGCTTTGATGGGTCAAATACAGTAGATTGAATCGTGGAAGACCTCTACTTTTCGTCCATGTACCTTCTCACATTTTTAGATAAAGTTCATATGCTTTTAATATTTATAATCAAATCATTCTACTTTTATAAATTCTCAAATTAAATCTAGTAACAAATTCATCCGACTTAGACATCGGACAACATTTATAGCGTGACATGGATAATTTTTTTCCAATGTCAGCGTTCACGTGAACCCTTTGGCCAAATTTCATTCACATCATACTTCGACATTGTCTACATTGTCTAAATTTTTATGAACACATCCGTGTGGAGGTGGGTATGAATGAGCTCAAAGGTAGTCTCCCCATCTCCTTATGAAAATGCACCGGGAGCTAATCTTTCTTTCTCCGATTTTTCGATCCTCCCGAAACACAACGTTTTTTTTTTTTTTGGTGAAGCCCGAAACACAACGTTTCCATTTATCCAAATCAATAACTATTGGATAAAAAGTAAAATCAATTTGAAAGAAAACGAGAGAAAAATATGTATTTGATGCAAGGGGACATCATGCTCCGAATCGTCCCGAAAATTTCTCATTGTCCTAAACTTTCTAGACACATCCCTATTGAAACAAATCAATCACATTAGCTCCCGGTGCATTTTCATAATAAGGAGAGAAATTCAAAAAAATTAGGATAAGATGATTGTACTTAGATCTCAACCTTTCGGTTGTCCTAAATACTACTGAGTAGCTCCAAAATAGCCAAATATCAAACCTAGACCTGTCAAATGGGTGGGTCGGGTCGGGTTTGGGTCGGATCATAAATGGTCCGATCCAAATTGACCCATTAACCCGTTTATGACCCATTTACGTGCAATGCAATTTTCTTGACCCATACCCGACCCGACCCATACCCAACCCATACCCGATTAGACCCATATTGCTAAAACACTTCCGTATTAATTAAATCTAGGAAAATTCATACCCAAACTGAGATGAAAGTGCGAAGAGAGTGACCGTAAGATTGAGTAAGGACTAGAGAGACGAGTTAAGTTTAAATAAGTTGTAAACTCATTTATGACCCATTTACAACCCATTTATGACCCATTTAACACTAATATTAAATTTCTACTCATTTATGATCCATTTACTAAGTATAACTAACTCATTTATGACCCATCTACTAATATATAGATTAAGTAATGGGTTTATGACCCATTTTGACAGGTCTAATCAAACCCACCAAAAAAGTTGCAGTTACCATAAATTAGTCCAAACCCTAGATTTCTATCATTGAGGGCACAGGGAACCCATGATCGCATGAACGCACGCACTCAAAAATACTACTTCTTTTCCACCAAAATCGTGGCATTGTTCCATTCATATACAAGTCAGCTTAGTCTAACCTATTGACGTACACGCCATAGGGATAAGCTTTCCCAATTTTCATATTCCAATTAAATCGACAGCCATGAATAAATTACTTTGCAACTTGCAACTCCCAAATTATCTTTTTGACCATCATCAAGCGCATCTGAACCCATAAAACCTTTGACCCCAATTCTTCATTCTTCGGAATCTCACGTTGTTTTTTTTAACATTACTTATAAGCGACTATCTTTTACTTTGTCCAAACCGCGCAACTCATGATGATTCGGTTTCTTGCCCATTACATATGTAGTTAATATAACACCTTTTACATCAAAGATCACAAGTTCTCTTGTTGCTTGCATTTTCCATCTAGTCCTATATCATCTCAAGGATGGAACGGAACGTCTTTGACAGCTAATTATACATTGAATATCTAACAATAATGGGTCTAAATCAGAACCTAGCAAGATTACACACCTTCTATTATTAGCAAATTATGCATTGATGGGGAGGTTCGAATCATGTAGCTATACATGTCTTTGCCTTGTGTACCTTGTCCTTGGCATTTATGACCAGTACTCGCAGCTAACGGCACCGTGTTGTTTAATTGAATCGAGTAACTAGCTAAATTTGTTAACTCGAACCAGCAACAAGAGTTGACGCGAAGGGGAAGAATTTCACAGCATTACGTCCATGTTTCCAAAAGCTTGCCCCGTCCTCTATATGCTTGTATACAAATGGTTCGTCTTCAATATCTTCAAATTCCCAACTCTAGCGTTTAGCACAGCCATTGATTATGCGGCAAAACAGACGACAGATCGAAAAAACAAAAAAATGGCACAGCTATATCTCCTGCCTCCTACAATACTAGAGATTCTTGTGGCCATTTGAAAAGCTCTTTACCGTCAATATTTTTCAAAAGAAAACATGTACAAGCAAATGAACTGACTGAATTCCAGGAAAAATACCCTCCAGAGGATGATGATTCAATGTCCGCGAGAATAAGTTCTTCAATCATGAAGTTCATTCAGATTGAGCAACAAAAGTTCGACATCTGAACGAGAGGGTTGCTTAGTCCGACTAGCCCCACGGCATGACGAGTAGCAAGGCGACTTATCAAATGGGCGGGAGAGACTTTGCACGAATGAATTGTTTGAGAATGGCTTTCTCCTCATCAAGGCGCTTCCTCTCTTCACGATCTTTTGGTTTGATCTTCCTCTTCTCCTCCAGTATCCACTTGTAGAGTTCACGTTGTTGATCCTCCGGAATTGGCTCTCGTGGTTTCACAGGCTCAGTGATGATTGGCACAGGCACAGGTTTCTCAGTAGCAGTGGTAGTCGTAGTCACCGTAGTCGACACTGGAGTTGAGGATACAGCTTGGGAATCTTCTTCCTCTGTTATGGTTTTGTCCTTCTTAGTGGTCCTCATGAACAGGTAAGCTACAAGAATATGTAATATTCAGTCAAACAAGCAAAGCCCCCAAGGTTTTATAGATTAGACATCACAAGGAGACAGGTTGACAAGATTTCCAAGGGATTTAATGAAATGCTTAGCAGTTGCACCATGATCAAATACTTAGTTACCTGATGATACAATCACGAGATGACAGGACAGCTCAACAGATTCTTAAGCTACAATTTTCAGCTGGTTTAAGCTATGGATCAATCAAAGCAGAATAGATGTGTAGCAATGAAGAGACAGAAAAATCTCTGCCTTCTATCATAAATGCAATGTGACCGATATCAGCAATCAAACTAGTTAATAATTTCTTCAGGACCTTCTACCTTTTATCATATTTTCTATGTAGGTTAATCTGATAGTGATATCTAATTTCCAGACAGACAGGTGGAATAGGTGCGGGTAAGCTGGGGGAACATAGTTTTGGTAAAGGTCGTTAAGCAAGCATTCAGTGCATCCTGCTTCATATGCTGTATCTTCAGAAATTCACATATTTCAGAGTCTTATCATGCTATGCATCCCAAGGGACTAATATCTATGGAGAATTTGCAACATTCCCACAAACTACTGAGCATAAAAAAAAAAGCAAAGCAGCTTGAGTAAGACACATCAGAACCAAATCACGACGACTTGCACATTCAACTGCATTAGCAATACAGGCAATCGAAGGAGTAGGGTTCTGCCGGAACTCTTATTCCATTTGGCATGTGCATTGATACTGTAACATGTCCCAAATTTTGAATAAATGGAAGAAGGGGATTCATTCGCAATCTAATGCATTACCCATGTGATAGCAGTTATCACTATAATAAGCAGATATATCTGGCAGAGCAAGAAATACACTATTCCTTTTCCTTCATGAATGCTTTTAGACATAGCCATACAGCATATCTCTTACACCAAGTTTCTCGGGTAGCATAACATGAGCTTGCAGGAGAATTCCACTAAAAAATAAAAATAAAGAGCAGAATGCAGGGCTCCCGTCTCCAAAGGGCATTTCATAGAGTTCTCGACTAATGATTTCCAGTTACCTCAACAAAGTCTGCTATCTTCTTCCAAATTATCCGGGAGAAGTATTGCGAAATATCCAACTCAAACCTCAAGCAATAGCTTTGCCACATACTTGAAGCTGTACCCCTAATAGTATACTCACACAACATACACACATCTCTCATCATCCTTACATGCCATCAATGAGTTGGCTTTAGAACTTCAAGAATGATCGAGAGAAAAACAGGGATTTGTCTACATGAGCTTTCACATGGATTTCATACTTCAGGTGCCATACCTTAAAATACGAAAAATCTATAATCAAAATGATGTAGCAGACCATTTTCCAAGTACAGGTCAGTGTTAATGCAAGGCCTAAAACCCAAGACACAGGCAAGATAACTCCCACTAATCTCCTATTGTACTAGACTTCTCACTCCAATTAAGATATATGACTTATCAGGTCGCTGTAACATTTTCGCCTAGTTCATGGAAGACCTTCTGTAGGTCCAATTTGCAAATGCAGTCTACCATATGTTTTGTGAAAACATATGCAAAATATGCTGCACAACCATCTCCTGCAAGATGCTTTGACAATTACTAGCCACGAGAGTCTGAAATCTATTCAACTTCCATCACTTAAATTTCACCGTAAAATTATGCCCTTCCCAGCTCCAATGGCAGTGTCAGATCAATTGATTATTGGAGTGCAAAGAACCAGTACCCCACCCATCAGAAACATGATTCGATTTTTAATGCACCGCTCTTTCTGATGCACCATAAAAAATTTTGGCTCATCGACAATAGTGGATGCTTACTATGCCTTGTTTTATACCAAAACGAACCAAAGGCCTTGAGAAACAGCGTTTACTTCTTGAAGAATCCCTGCTAATTCATCTAGATGCTTAGCGCTAAAAACAGCGTGCGACTGAATCCTACTTGCAGGCATATCAAATTCTCAGCACTCCCCACTTGAGACCAATGTCCAACTACAACAATACAGCCTCTTGACTAAAATGTCATACCATCATTCTCATCACTCCAACTACTTCTGGAAAGATTAATATTCTCTTCATTGTCTTTTAAAGTCAACTTCGAATTTTCCCATTAGCATAAACGCAATCCACTCAAGTTTTCTTTGCACCCTTTTGTTTCCTCTCTCTTTGTCCTCTTCCTAACATAGTAGAAGCAAAGAATTCTAGTCTAAACGATATCAACTCAGGAAGTCAATTCTTATGGGTAGAACCAAAAACCTAAAAGGACATTAAAAAAAACAGAGACCACATAACCAAATTAACGCCCCAAAACCAGTGAGGAATTTTAACAAACACAAAGGCGCGCGACCACATATACCCATTACCCACAAGCACGCACGAAAAGAAAACGCACGGACCTCCAACGCCGAGATTGGCAGTCAAGAGCAGAGGCCAGAGGAACTTATAACGGCGAGCGAAGGACTCCTTGGGGGGCGTCGGCGGGGGCGGCCGCGGCTGCGACCCCATCGCGTACGACGCTGCGGCCGCCGACGACGGCGGGGCGGCGGCGGCGGACTCCTTCCCGCTCTGCTTCAGCTGCGCTGCGGATGGCGGAAAAACGATCGTGGGTGCGTCAACTATTGGAAGGAGAAAGAAGAAAGACACGCCACGGAGAAAAGATTCTCAAAGCAAAGCCGGCGCGAGGCTGTTCACCTGACTGTGATAGGACTACTTTCGACCATTTTCATATTCGTTTAGGAGGGTGCGAACGAGGGGGAGATGATGATGAGGGTTCGAAAGGGGTGGGTAGGGTGATGCGATACCTTTCTTGGGTTTGTTGGTGTAGAGCTTGGGACCTTCTTCGACCATGGCGGAGCTTCTGATGCTGCTCCTCGATCTCGACTGGGTTTTGACAGCGACTTCGCTTCGTTTCAGAGCATCATCTGCTTCGCCAAGCGAAGAAGCAAGGCGCGTGGCAAATTAGTAATTCTCTTCTCTCTCTTTCTTTTTCTCTTTTTTACCGTTTTCTTTCCTCTGCGAAGCGACTGGCATGTTTCCTTTGGCAGCGTTCGCCGCTCGCCAGCGGTCAGATCCATTTCCTTGTTTTTCGTCGGTTTCGCTTGATCGATTTTAAAAGAAATACTTTTCAAATCATCCATTCATTTAATAAAATTTTATTCTTTTGAATTGGGAGTGAAAAAGATATTAAAAAGTCAATCAATGAGCAGTGTGCATCAGTAGAAAGTTTCATTTTGCAATTGTTGACGAGAGGATGGGCGGGTTAGTTTTAAAACGAGGGAAAATGACACAAATGATCTCTAAATTTTGGCTTAATATGCAGTATCGTTTTTTGACTTTTAATTCGTTCGATGTGGTTACTGAATTATTAGTAAATATTCAATCTTGTCTCTAAATTATATGATAACGTTCAATGTCGTCCTTTCCGTAATTCAAGTTAACGGAATTTGTTGATGCGACTTCCAATTCATCAAGTTTAAATGTTGGCCAACAGGAAAAGGCTGCACACGAATTATCCAAGTAAGATATTCACCTCACAATTCTCGTCATCAAGTAAGGATGGACATTTCAACGGCCTAATTTTTTTTTTTTTTCCGTTTCTAAAGTAGATGGATAAATTGATGGACAAGTCGACTCATCATTTTTTCAAAAAGTCAAAACTCGATATATAATAATCAATGTCATCAAATAACATCTAATTTCTTATTTGAGCAAACGGATGGACCACTTTAAACCTTTACCAACAATTCATAAATTATTTATGTCATTTCTCCTGCAATAACTACCTTCCTCTACAAATCATGAAATTTGGCGAGCCACAATGAGTACATCCACGAGGGGGAGGAGTCGAATTGGGCCGGAGAAACTTTAGCAGGACAAGCCCACGATGGCCCAAACACGAGCCCGACCCATCATCATCGTCTTCGGTCTTCCGTCTGCGATGGCGCTGCCATCTCTCGTTTTTTGAGCAGAGCTAATCGCGAACTGAACTGTGCCGAGTCTGCCGACGCTCTCGCCTCGCTCCCGCCACGCCCCGGCAGCCGCCATGAGAGTGCTCGCCGTATCCATGCCTTCGCCGGGAGCGCGGGCGTATTCGGGTCCTTGCTCGTGCTCGTGGGACACCCAGCAGAGGCTCCCTTACAACCGCAACGCCCCCAGGAACCCCGATTCCGGCAAGCTCAAGTTCCCCGCCCAGTCCTCCACCGTCCCGGCGCCGCGCGTCGCCGTAGCCGTCGCCGCTCCGGCCCCCCGCCCGGGCCCTCCCGTCGCGGACCTTCTCAAGCGCTCTGATGTTCGCCCGCCGCGCGCTCAAGGTACTTGTCGCTCGCGTTTCGCTGTTGGACGGGCTCGTGCCTGTCTGGAGTTGTTAATGGTGTTTCTTGCGAGTGGATGAGTGGGAGTGGATTGTTGTTCTTAGTCGAATGATGGGTTCGCTTGTTTTCAGCAGTAGAGTTGGGATGAATAGTTTCTGGAGAAGTTGTTATTGCCGGTGGAAGATTTGAATTCCGCTGCCATTTCAGTTGGATATGTTTTCTTCGTGAATTTTTTTTTTTTTTGTTGAAGTGGTTAGTGTTTTGTTGTGTTCTGCTGTTCAGATGAATTGTACTTGGGGTATGAGCAGTGGTTGCCTAGTCCGCCGAAAGTGGAGAAGCCTCGGTCCGTCTACAATGCGGCGTTGTTAGCGTACATTGGGGATAGCATATATGAGGTGTGTGCTCCTTGAGGTTGAACTTAATTTGGGACATGCATATTGTCAAACAGAATCATTTTGAAGTGTAATGAAAGGAAACGCGCGAAGCTCAGAGACCGGGTCTTGCATTTTGGAGAAGGAATACCTTGTAGGAAAAAAGAGTAGTAGTTCAAATCAAATAAATGCATTGTAGTTGTGAGGACTTCTTCTTGGGAATCAATTTCTTTCAACGATTCTCACTCACTCACTCTTTGTGCTTCTTAAATTATGCAGTTATATGCTCGCAGGCACTTTTTGTTTCCTCCCCTGAGCATTGAAGAATTCAATGATCGTGTAACATCTGTAGTACGTTGTGAAGCGCAGGTAAATTGTAGTTCTTGACCAAGCTTCTTTTCGCCATAATGTTTTCTCAGACTTTGAAAGATTAAGCATGTGCTCCTACTGAAGTTCACGCATTTAAGTTTGTTGGCAGTGCTCCTTATGGTCTATGTCCTCAGTCCTCACCTACACTGACTTGCTTAAAATTTTTACTTCACTGTCTCATTTATATATAGATTCGTACATACGTACGTATATGTGTGTGTATACCCCTGAAATATAGAAGTCAAGAATGGATGGAAAAGTGCATGTCTCCTTATCAAGGCGTGCTGTGGGTTTTGTTGAAGGTGGTTATAGATGTTTGTCTTTCATTGGACTCCACATACCTTAACATTGCCTGTCTTTTATGGTGTTTTCTTGTTCAGAGGTTTGAGCTCACTGTGGTTACACAGTCTACTTGCTTCCAATGACATCTAGATTGATTTGCGGCTAAATTTCTTTCCTGCTATTTTTCCATTTCACATTGCGCTATGGGCCATTCTTTGCTGCGTTCCAGGATGAACTGCTTCAGAAACTGCTTGCCGACAATTACCTATCAGAAGAAGAAAGGTTGGTAGAGGTTGCGATGCTCCTTAATAAAAGACGTGCTGCATGACTATTTCACTCTCTTTATTTTTGTTATCTTTCTCAGAAGTTGCTTTGCTTGTCGCAGGGATGTTCTTCGGTGGGGAAAGAATGTTGGTACGGCTAAAACACGGTCTAGAAAACGTGCTGGTACTGCAGTTTACAACAGAGCATCTTCGCTGGAAACTTTGGTTAGTACTCTTGCATGACATAAGTCTACTATTAGAAAAAAATATCATTCAAACAGTGGAATTTTAAACACTCATGAAGCAATACTATGGTTCTTCCGTTCTGTTTTCATTATATCACATTTTCTATTACATCGCATCTTTGCAGATTGGTTATTTGTACTTGACAAATGTGAAGCGCTTGGAAGATGTCATGTTGAAGTTGGGATTCTCAACAGGTGCTTCATCTGAATGGGTGCTGAATGGAGAGCGACTAGTAAGTTCTAGCTTGGTGATATGATCTTTCTGTCATTCTATTGGTCAATGTGACTTGTGGTGATTAACTCACTTGTTCAACATCACTGACTGAAGATGGGTCGCATGTGTCTTCTTTGCCATGACGTTTTCTTTCTGTATTAAACCGGTAGTTACGGATATCTATGTGGAATTGAAAATTTTGCTTTGAGCATTGGAAATGGACTTCTTTGTCCATTCTCTTTGATGGTGCTGGTATTTACTTGTTGGCTAATACATGTCTCCTTCAAGGTCATCAGCTAGGATGATAGAGCGTGAAGATAAATACATAACACATGGCTGTGACAATGACCAGCCACTGCTGAACCTCCATAGTGCAAATGTGAAGAGCGAATCAGTAAGAAGGTTTTAAGTCTTGTTATCTTCAGTTAGATGATAATGTTAGTCTTGCCTTCTTGTTTTGCTACGAAATGTTTGGGTCACTGCCAGTATCGGAAGAATATCTGGGTTTACATGTTCCTGTTGCCCTGTACTACACACCACTGGATAAATTATCGAAATTTGGTTGTAACTTTTGACAAGGGGGAAGCCTTTCTTACTTGGTATTTATTGCAAGTGTCAAGCTTGTGAAGAAATGCATACTCATTCTTCATTAACAGTGTCTCCTCTTCTTCCCTTTCCTTTTTCCCGTTTCTCTGGTTGCGAGACCTCATCCTCATGTCCCTTGTGAGGTGAGGGGAAAGGCCGTTAAGTGATGCATCACTAGAAAACACCCACATCCAAAAGTAACCATTTGAGCGCTGTTCTTTGGGCCTTGACCTGCTTGAATTTCGGTCATGTCATTCATAAATGGTATCGGGACATGGACCGTCGTGGTGAAGCTCATATTATTTATGCAACATGTTCGGTCTGACAAAGGGGGGTGGCTTCCTACTGTGGTGGGCAGCGGGCGGGCATATGCCATGCTACACTGCCCGAGTCATATGAAAGGCCTCTTTTTCCCTTTTATTCAACGCGTATTCTATGTGTAAATCCAGCATAGGTGACAAAATAACTTGGCCTCAAAAGTAGTTACACGGTGGATGTTAAAATCTAGATTTAGGGTGCGTTTCTTTCACTAAAAACTTCATGATAAAAGAAAATATTTTCCATGGTTTCATTTGTTTGGTGGTTTAGGGAAAGTGTACCAAAATGAAGTTGTTTTCTCCCAATCTAAGCTTTGTTGTTTTCAATCCAAGGAAAACGTTTTATGTACATCGATTAGCTTTCCGTCATTTAAACACCATAAAGTAAGAAAACAATTTTCCGAAAACAGTTTTCTTTCATGCAAACGGACCCTTAACTCTCTAAATGTGACATCCTAGATTTAACTCACTCGAGGTATTGTCCACTTTGGCCCGTCACATACCGAGCTTCACGGTTTTGTCCTTTAGCGTACAGACAGACACTTTTCCAGGATATCACCCATCCTGGTAGTGCTTTGGCCTGGGCTCGCTTAATTTTGGAGTTCCAAAGCAAAGCTTGTCGTTACGTCAAAAGGCGTCTCCGTGAGTTAATTTCATTTTTCACATATATATCTCAGGATCGCTCTCCTCCTATTCGATGCACAGTTTAGTTCATTCTTGCCTCCTTCACCATCCTAGAAGCCTGCAAGAAGCCGCTTTTGTCCAAGCCTTCTGGCCCTGGCGACCATTCCCCGCTCTCGTCGGATCGGGTCGTTATAGGCCCACCAGCTTCCGCGTGGTTCGTCCCCGAACCACAGACCTACTAAAGGGAGTCTCACTCTGATACTATATTGTGACGCTCTGGATTTAACTCACTCTAGGTATTGTCCCAAGCCTCAAGGTTTTATCTTTTAGCGTACATGCAAACACTTTCCCCGGAGATCACCCATTTTGGTAGTGATTTGGCCTGGGCTCGTTTAACTTTGGAGTTCCAAAGCAAAGCTTGCCGTTACGTCAAAAAGCGCCTCCGTGAATTAATTCTAGTTTTCACATATATATCTCATAATCGCTCTCCCCCTGTTCGGTGTATAGTTCAATTCATTCCTGTCACCTTCGCCATCCTAGAAGCCTGCCAGGAGCCGTTCCTTGTCCAGGCCCTTTGACCCCGACGACCACTCCCCACCCTCTTCAAACCGGGTTGTTACACTAAATATATCGATTTTGCGATTCGACCATGGGCTAGACTTTGATAACAATGTTGGTTATGATTATCTTGCATACTGCGAAGCTTTATCTTTAGGGTTAATACCACGAAAAACCCTAAACTGGTACACTTGTGACACATTTACCCCAAACTATTTTTTTGACCATAAAAAACCCAAAACTGGTACACCTGTGACAATTTTACCTCGAACTATTTTTTTGATCATAAAAAACCCCAAACTGGTACATCTGTGACAATTTTACCCTGAACTTACCACAAAAAATCCCAAACTGGTACATATGTGATAATTTTACCCTGAATTAAAATTTTAATATTATTTATTATTTTTTTCGAATTTTTATTTATTTTTTTCATTTTTTTCCTTTTATTTTTTTTTTCTTTATCTTCAACCTTTGGCCAGTCGCTGGTCCGGCGACCGGCCAGAGGTGGAAGCCGGCGAGGGCGGCCCTCGCCGGCGTCGGGCGAGGACCGCCCTCACCGGCGTCCCGGGCGAGGGCGCCTCGCCGGTATCAGCGAGGGGCGCCTCGCTGCGTCGGCGAGGGCCACCCTCGCCGGCGTCGAGCCGAGCGGCATCTCGCCCGCCCAGGCATGGGCGATCCTCGCCCAGGCTCAAGCGAGGCAACCCTCGAGACGCGGCGAGGGTCGCCCTCGCCGGAGCCCTCGCTGCGTCGGGCAAGGGCCACCCTCGCCGGCGTCGGGCGAGGGCGTCCTCGCCCGCCCGGGGCATGGGCGATCCTCGCCCGACTCAAGCGAGTGGCGCCTCGCCGTATCGGGCGAGGGGCGCCTCGCCGGATCCGCGAGGGCGACCCTCGCCCTGCGTCGGGCGAGGGTTGCCCTCGCCGGCGTCGGGCGAGGGCTGTCCTCGCCCGCCCAGACAAGGGCGAGGGTACGCCTCGCTAGCTTCGGGCGTGCGCGCCCTCGCACGGGCGGGCGAGGACGGCCCTCGCTTGAGTCGGGTGAGGGCCGCCCTCGCGGCGTCGGGCGAGGACGGCCCTCGCCCGGGCACTGCGGCGGGCCGCCCTCGCTAGATCCGGCGAGGGTCGCCCTTGCCGAGTCGAGCGAGGGCGGCCCTCGCCAGCAGCTGCCGAGGGCGGCCCTTGCCGGCTTCCGCCTCTGGCCGATCGTCGGACCGGCGACCGGCCAGAGGTTGAAGTGAAGAAAAAGAAAAGAAAAGAAAAAATTCAAAAAAATAAAAAAATTAATATTAAAAATTAGTTGGGGTAAAATTGTCACATGTGTACCAGTTTGGAGTTTTTTGTGGTATTTTCGGGGTAAAATTGTCACAGGTGTACCAGTTTGGGGTTTTTTATGGTCAAAAAAATAATTTGGGGTAAATGTGTCACAAGTGTACAAGTTTAGGGTTTTTCGTGGTATTAACCCTTATCTTTATACCGTGTAATTTTTTGTAACTAAAAGTATGGACCGTGCAATTATATAATAGCTGGAGCCTGTAATATGATTATGCTTTTCACTCGGCAAGAAGCACTCCGTATCTATGTGTGCTTTAGTTACGCGCTATTGAAAAGTGCTTCTTGCATTATCTATGATGACGCAGGCCATTTACAATGATAAGAGTGACATAATTCTAGCTTACACTTGATGGTTTTGTACAACCTTATAATCTTAAAGACCCCACAATGATTTTACCATAAGCGACTTCAACAAAGGCCACCTTATGAAGGAAAGTTATGGCAATATGTGCCCGCTACTGGAATCGAGAAAATGACTTGCGAAGCTTCCTGATTGTGAGCAAAAGGTGAAGCACAAGGAAGAAAGAATCGCCACAATATATATGCGGAAAGTGTAGTCAATCATTGCTTGCTTAGGGCTTAAGACAGCCAAGATGCAACAAAATAGGATATCAATGCGGTGGTTTTTTAATCATATAAACGATGACTTTGATGTGTATCCATCCACTCACTTTGAGCTTAGGATCTCAGTTCAAGTGTAGGGTGCTAATGCAGCTCAAGCAACTTCAAGGCCCCTCCCCCACCATGATCACGTGCCTTTTCTCGCCTTCACCTCGTTCGTTGGGCAGCATTCAGCCTTCCCACGATTGCTTCTTTCCAAAGCCAAAGTTTTTAAAGTGTCATCTTTTGGGAACAAAGCTATGAAACATCTGGATATTGCACATGAATCGTCTAGCGTGTCGTGATTGATCTTGTCCATCATATTTGATGGAACATATGGAAAGAAGGGTTCCGGTGACTTCAGTGGGAAAAGTATTAAAAAACTCCTAAACCTATTATATTGATACCAATTCAGTACTAAACTTTTCATTTGAACCAATTTAGTTCTAAACCTTTTCATATTAGTACTAATTCAGTCCATTTAATCAATTTAGGCCAGAAATTGCTGACGTGGACATTGGCCTTCCTATATGAAATGTTTGGCGCTGACGTAGATGCCGGCCTCACGTCGAGGTGGCCGACCCCCGCCGGCCATCGGCAAAAAGAAAAGGGAAAGCAAAAACAAAAAAAAGAAAAAAAAATTCACAAAATGTCCACGTCAGCATCAATCGTGCTATATAGGATGGTCAGCGTCCACGTTAGAGATTTTCGACCTAAATTGTTCGGATGGACTGAATTGGTATCAATATGAAAATGTTTATAACTAAATTGGTCCGATTGAAAGGTTTAAGACTGAATCGATATCAATATAATATGTTTATGACTTTTTTAACACTTTTATTGCTTCAGTATTAGCGTTCAAAAGGTTGGTCTCACAGTGATCAGAGATTGGTGGTTCGATTGGACTGCAAATCTCGATTTGGGTCCGAAGGTCAACGCCTCGCTGTTCCGCACATGTTTCAACTAACATTATTGCATTGACGATTGATTTTAACCCACAAATGTTTGAGGAGACAAGATTTGATTGGCGATTTGGGCCAAATTGGCGAACTCGATCCCAGACACATCTCCAAACAATGTTCACTACAAGATCGAGGATTAATAGCATAGCCACTAGTTTCGTGAGCACGAAATGCACGCATACTTCAGCTCTCTCCGCTTCCAACGTAGTTTCGTCCGCCTTTGACAAGACCGAGAAAATTGACAGTCCAGTGCTCAAAAGCCGGCCGAGAATAAGATACTACTCGACGTTAATCCAGTGTTCCTAGTAGTCTTGTAATAATTGAACTTTGACAAAATAGACCGACGTCCTCAATGATTAGGAAGAGTAATCTGTCTTAAGCATACTAATTACATCCTTGATTTGAATGGAAGCCTACTTTCGATAATCATATGACCGAACGGAACATGTTTATTTCCAATTTTTTTTGGCCAATTATATGTGTGTGTATGTATATATATTTCTGGTTTATAATAATCGAAGCCCATGCACATCCAAGGGATCCGTGAAGGGGAAGAGGGAGACAACATAACAACACGCTCCATTGTATAATCCCAACAGAGTCGTCCTTGAAACTATTTGAGCCCCTTAGGACAAACTTGGCCGTGTCACATACTATTAATTTTCTGTTTGTCCA